CTTCAAAGCTTTTGCACAGCAAAGGAAACCATAAACAAGACCAAAAGACAGCCCTGAGAATGGGAGAAAATATTTGCACATGAAGCAACTGACGAAGGATTAATCTCCAAAATTTACAAGCAGCTCTTGCAGCTCAATAACAAAAAAACAAACAACCCAATCCAAAAATGGGCAGAAGACCTAAATAGACATTTCTCCAAAGAAGATATACAGACTGCCAGCAAACACATGAAAGAATGCTCAACATCATTAATCATTAGAGAAATGCAAATCAAAACTACAATGAGATATCATCTCACACCAGTCAGAATGGCCATCATCAAAAAATCTAGAAACAATAAATGCTGGAGAGGGTGTGGAGAAAAGGGAACACTCTTGCACTGCTGGTGGGAATGTGAACTGGTTCAGCCACTGTGGAGAACATTATGAAGGTTCCTTAAAAAACTACAAATAGAACTACCATATGACCCAGGAATCCCACTACTGGGCATATACCCTGAGAAAACCATAATTCAAAAAGAGGCATGTACCAAAATGTTCATTGCAGCTCTATTTACAATAGCCCGGAGATGGAAACAACCTAAGTGCCCATCATCGGATGAATGGATAAAGAAGATGTGGCACATATATACAATGGAATATTACTCAGCCATAAAAAGAAACGAAATTGAGCTATTTGTAATGAGGTGGATAGACCTAGAGTCTGTCATACAGAGTGAAGTAAGTCAGAAAGAGAAAGACAAATACCGTATGCTAACACATATATATGGAATTTAAGGGAAAAAAATGTCATGAAGAACCTAGGGGTAAGGCAGGAATAAAGACGCAGACCTACTAGAGAATGGACTTGAGGTTATGGGGAGGGGGAAGGGTGAGCTCTGACAGGGCGAGAGAGAGTCATGGACATATACACACTAACAAATGTAGTAAGGTAGATAGCTAGTGGGAAGCAGACGCATGGCACAGGGATATTGGCTCGGTGCTTTGTGACAGCCTGGAGGGGTGGGATAGGGAGGGTGGGAGGGAGGGAGACGCAAGAGGGAAGACATATGGGAACATATATATATGTATAACTGATTCACTTTGTTATAAAGCAGAAACTAACACACCATTGTAAAGCAATTATACCGCAATAAAGATGTTAAAAAAAAAAAAAAGAGGCATGTAACAAAATGTTCATTGCAGCTCTATGTACAATAGCCAGGAGATGGAAACAACCTAAGTGCCCATCATCGGATGAATGGATAAAGAAGATGTGGCACATGTATACAATGGAATATTACTCAGCCATAAAAAGAGACGAAATTGAGCTATTTGTAATGAGGTGGATAGACCTAGAGTCTGTCATACAGAGTGAAGTAAGTCAGAAAGAGAAAGACAAATACCGTATGCTAACACATATATATGGAATTTAAGAAAAAAAATGTCATGAAGAACCTAGGGGTAAGACAGGAATAAAGATACAGACCTACTGGAGAATGGACTTGAGGATATGGGGAGAGGGAAGGGTGAGCTGTGACAGGGCGAGAGAGAGGCATGGACATATATGCACTAACAAACGTAAGGTAGATAGCTAGTGGAAAGCAGCTGCATGGCACAGGGATATCAGCTCGGTGCTTTGTGACCCCCTGGAGGGGTGGGATAGGGAGGGTTGGAGGGAGGGAGACGCAAGAGTGAAGAGGTATGAGAACATATGTATATGTATAAGTGATTCACTTTGTTATAAAGCAGAAACTGGCACACCATTATAAAGCAATTATACTCCAATAAAGATGTTAAAAAAAAAAAAAGTCACTTAGTGGTACCCAGTGAGCAAATAGTTTGGCCTGAGGAGTCCAAGATGGCTTCATTTCACATGCCTTGGCTGGAAGGCTAGGCCAGCTGGGACTGTTGCCTGGAATGCCTACACACAACTTCTCCAGTCTGGCAGCCTTGGCAGTAGGTCTCCTTACATGGCAGCTCAAGGTTCCTAGAGAGAGTGTTCCAAAATACAGAAAGTGGAACAGAGTCATTTCTGCCATAGTCTACTGGTCAAAAAAGTTCCAGTGCTCAACCAGATTCAAGGGGAGGAGTCATAAACAGGCTGGAGTCATGGCTGTGTGACCTTTGAAAAATCTCAAGTGCAGCTGTATAGAAACCTGAACTCAAAAGGAGTTCATGCTTGGTTTATTGTTGTCTTGAAATTCTTTATAATTTTTGAACAAAGGGCACTACATTTTCATTTTGAACTGGGTCCCACAAATTATGTAGCCTGTCCTCATCATAAACCTCACCTTTCAATGGATAGAGTATTAAAAATTTTGTAGCCATCTTTTACGGGCCATAAGCTGCCTGCCAGAGACTTCATTCCGCACCATAGTTCTGTATTCAAAATTATCCTTTCAAAATGAAGACTGATGTTTGTGGGTTAAATTCACCATAAAGAAGGGAAACAAATTATGAGGTTGGAAACTGGAACAAATTCTGTGATAAGTTTAGGATTAATAAATATGTTGGAAACCAACAACACTGAGTATCTGCTGGCACCCTGTAACTGGTCACCTCTGGGCTCACTCACTCAGTTATGTCACTTAGGCATTAACCAACAGTTATCCAAGATCAGTATGTGTGCTGAATTTATCCATATTGTCCTTGATGAGAAAGACAGCCAGTAATCACTATATAGAAAGGAGTCTCCATGGTCTCAGCAAACCTGGATTTGTTTTGGGGGGGTATCTGCAAAACTATGTAAAGGTTATTAGGGAAGGCAGTGACAACTCCTATGCTTTTTGAGAACCCCAGCCACATCTGACATCTCTTTGGGTCATCAGTCATTTGCACTGCATTATGTTCTCAGCAGGAGTTCAATATGATTGCTGGTGATGAATCTAAGCAACAAATGGCATCATAACAATAACAACTACCAAAAACCAAGATGAATAGAATGGGGACACAATTAATGGAGAACAAGGTCAGGAAAAGTTAAGTACAGTATTTTGCACAAAGGCAAAGATTATTGAATTGAAAATATTGATATGATAAACTCTTGAAAGGTATTATTATCCAGGGAAAGTTTCTTAGAGAAAGAAGCTAGACTTTGAAAGAAATGAGGGTTGGCAGAGTACTGAAAGGAAATAGAAACTACATTGGTATGAGGACAAGAAGAAAATCAGCCCAACTAGGGTGGAAGAACGTGGGTAGACGGATGTTACTGGATAAATTAGAGGTGAGGAAAGGAGAGTCATTGCTCCAGGGCACTGGTCCTAGGCTGCGGAATCTGAATTTACTCCACAAGTTATGGGAAATTACTGTAGTTTGCTATTGGTTTGGAGGGAATGAGTGATGGCTTTTTATTTTAGTATGCAAGTATAATAGTGGAAGTCTCCAGCTGATGCACATTCCAAAGGAGGTGGCAGAAACCTAGTGAATGATTCCCTGAACCACTGATCCACATTGAGGGTACAAGTATTAGAAGCTGGTGATCAGAAAGGACTTTAAAAGAGAGGAGTTCTTGAGATACTTGATGGTGGGAATGTTTCCCCTTATCTCAGGAGACTATTTGAAGAAGTTAATATGTATCTCTTGGAGTTTGAAGAACACAGTGGCCTGGTATCTGATTCCCTCCTGAAGAAAATTTATAGGGTAAAAGAAAGGATGACTAGCTACTTTGATGGAGGTAGTGAGAACTGGCCTGCATTCCCAGAATTCTTTGAGGTGAAAATGTGTTTCCTGTTGTGGTAGATGTTGTGATGCCTGAAAGACTTGTTCCTCCAGCCACTGGAAGTGATGCCAGCAGACAGTCCTCAACTGTCAGTCTCCTAGGGGATTGCTTTGGCTGAAGAAAGCTGATGACTGTCTGGTATGGGGGTACAAAGTCCCAGCCCCCCACCCCAATTTAGAACAACTCTGCAGAGCTATCCCAGGATCAGAACTCCCTGTAGATTGGCTAAGGTATCTGTCGAGGCTGCAGCAAAGCTCAGCTTCTCCCGCTGACCAATTTTGCTTCTTTCCCTTCCTTTCTACAGGTGTTGATCCCAAGGACACTCCCAAATAAACATCTTGCATGGTTATCTCCATTTCAGAATCTGTTTCCCAGGAAACCTGACCTGTAACACCTGTAGATCAGATATGGACCCCACCAGTAAGTCAACTAGCATGAATTATCTTGGGTCTGCCCAAGTGGGACCCTGTAGGGAGGAACAAACATCAGTGGACAGGATCCTTAAAGTATCACTGAATTCCTTACAGCTGGGGAAGCAGTGAGCACCAGCTGGAATATAGCTGCACCAGCCCAGGTCAAGAAAACTGAAGATTAAAGATTTCCAGTTATGAGGGGGAAAGAGTCTTTGAAGAACTTACAAAACTATCTCTGAGAAGAGCCAGTTTTAACCATTTGCCAAGTCCAAAGAGCACAAACATCCAGTTCACAGCAGTGTCAATCAAATAAAGCCTTTCCCTCCCCTCTCCTGTCCTCCTTCCCAGGGCTCCAAACCTGGAGAGGTTAGAAACCCGGCGGAGGGGCAAGAACACAAGGTACCATAAGAGAGAAGACGCCAACCCCACACTTTTCTTGACTTAAAAGTTTAAAACTGTTTTCCCATCTCTCTCCATTTTTCATGATATCCCTCAAATACTGTCATAGTCTATCCTTTCCTTTATTTGGTGAGATGCCCCATATTCCTGTGAAGTGTTGTCTGCAGTGTCCCTTGTTGCAAAAAGTCAAAACCTCACCTTGTCCGTAGGCCCTGACGTAGCGCTGTGGTGGAACTGCGCGACCGCCACGCTGCTCACTCCGCCCAGCTGCTCACTCCGCCCCGCTGCTCACTCCGCCCACGCGCGCTCCGCTCTCACTCCCAGCCCAGCCCTGCTGCCCCGCCCCATCCGTTCCGCTCCTCTGGCCCCGCCTAGCCACCCTGCCCCGCCCCATCCCTGTCATCCGCCCACTATCCCTCCCCTTCTCGATGCGCTCGCCCCGCCCCTTCCTGCTGTCCCGCCCCGTCTCACTCGTCTGGTCCCGCCCCCTCCTGGTAACCTGGTGGCAAGGAGCGGCGGCCGCCGGCGCCATGGGGACTGCCTCATCGCTCGTGAGCCCCGCCGGCGGGGAGGTGATCGAGGACACGTACGGGGCGGGCGGCGGCGAGGCCTGCGAGATCCCGGTGGAGGTGAAGCCCAAGGCCCGCCTGCTGCGCAGCTCGTTCCGCCGGGGCGCGGGGGCGGGGGCGGGGGCCGGGCCGGGTTCGCTGCCCCGCGGGGCGGGCGGCGGCGGGCTGCTGGGGGCCAGCTTCAAGTCCACTGGCTCGTCGGTGCCCGAGCTGGAGTACGCGGCGGCCGAGTACGAGCGGCTGAAAAAGGAGTACGAGATCTTCCGGGTCAGCAAAAACCAGGAGTTGTTATCCATGGGCCGCCGCGAGGCCAAGCTGGACACGGAGAACAAGCGGCTGCGGGCAGAGCTGCAGGTAACGCTGGGCCCGGGCGCTCACCGGAGACGGCCGCGACACCCGGGAAACTGAGCCCCGGGGCCGCCTGCCCACCTCCCCGCAGCCTCTTGGCCGCATTGCCAGTTGGACCCCTGGACGCCTGACTGCTCTGCATTTTAATTTGAGGGGACGTACTGTCTTGGGGTCTAAACTGATTCCTTAACTAACCGCCCCCCCCCCTTTTCTATTTCTGGTCCATTCATTCAGATGCCTTGAATCAATTAGCCTGAAAGTGTCCTGAAGCAACAAATGCTAATCTCCAGAGAAGTAGGTCCACACGGGGCACACATATACACCAAAGACTTTGGTGACATCTGTTGAGGAAACTCATCAAACCCTTCCTAGGAGTTTTTAACCACGCCTCGCCCTCCCACCCCTCCACCCCCCCCCACAAATTTACATACCTCGGAGGGGGGGCTTTTTTTTCAGTTTCTTTTTTTTAAAAATTTTTTTAAAATTTATTTTTATTTATTCTTTTAAATATATTTTAAAATTTATTTATTCTTGTTTTTTTGGCTGCGTTGGGCCTTTCTTGCTAAGAGCGGGCTTTCTCTAGTCAGAGGCAAGGGTGGGGGCTACTGTTCATCACCGTGCGCAGGCTTCTCACTGCCGTGGCTGCTCTTGTTGTGAAGCACGGGCTCTAGGCACGCGGGCTTCAGTAGTTGTGGCACACGGGCTTCAGTAGTTGTGGCACACGGGCTTAGTTGTTCCGCAGCAGGTGGGATCTTCCTGGACCAGGGCTTGAACCCGTGTCCCCTGCACTGGCAGGTGGATTCTTAACCACTGCACCACCAGGAAGCCCCTATTTTTGTTTCTTTGTGAAGTTCCATAGCTGTTGGATTTCAGTGATCTTGAAGTGAATTTTTCTGGCAGCCCCTGATTTTCACCACCTTAACTGCTGTGGTTGAAAATGTTCCCTAGGTATAGTCAAATTTCCTTAATCCACTTGATTAAATTACTCTAAAAACAATTATTACATGCCCTTCCTGTAATAGATCTATTTTAACTGATTATTAGGAAAGTTATTTTTTTGTGAGCAAAGGCGTGAGATTTTGTGTCATCAGTTTGGGGCCCCTCTGAGGGTTGTAGTTTGTTTACTCTATTTTTCTTTACTATGGAAGAGACTTCTGGACAGCCCAAGTGTTCCTGAGCTCATTACAGGAGGAATAGAATAAATACCTCAGACCTGATTTTTCTAGAAGGAAGAAGCCTTCTTCCTTCTAGACTAGTCCTTCTAGTCAATCCCTCTCCACCCCTACCCCACTCCCATTAGCTGTTGTCTAATTAGCACTGTTATCTGAGAATACATAAGCAGTTTTATCTGTTGTCTTACAGATTTTCCTATTGGGCAGTCTTAATGCACTTGCATATATGAAGTGGACTTATGCATTTCAGATATCTGATTTCATGCATCCAAGCCATTGTCTTGGATTCACTGCATATTGCAAAAGACTGAGGTGGAGGTAGAAAAGAAAGCCAGACCAACTAGGGTAGAGTGCACTAAGTGTTGACAAATGTCACAGTCCCAGGTTATTTCCTGTTACCAATCCTGATTCCTTATGTAACCCTTTTGATTCCTTTCTCACATATCTAGACATTTTTTAAAAACCTTCTGTATTTATTTAATCCATTCAGTCAGACATTTACTGGAAGCCTATCGTGTATCAGGCACTGCTAGTGCTTGGGGCTAGCAAGAGGAGTAAGACATGGAGCCAAGGAGTGCACAGTCTCACAGAAGTAATTATCCTTCAGGTTAAGCCTTACAAGTTGTACTTTTTGTTCTCTTAAAGATGGGAAAGCTGAGGTGTAGTGAAGATTAAGAACTAGTGCAGTATTTCAAAGAAAAAGCATTAATTTCCATTGAAAGCTTAATGTCAAATATCTTCATTTATAGTTCAAGCATATTTGCGTTTTTTTTTTCCATTATGTGTTTGAATAGAATGGCAATATGCAGTTCTTGATAACTGGTGAAAAAGTAAGTAGATTGTTAAAATTCTAAGATATTTAATATGTATATAAGATAATGTAAAATTTGGGAGGCATGCTATTTTTGTTATAAATAATGAGGTAAATTATTCCAGGCACTTCAGAAAACTTACCAGAAGATACTTCGGGAAAAGGAAAGTGCTTTAGAAGCAAAATATCAAGCAATGGAGAGAGCAGCTACATTTGAACATGACAGAGATAAAGTTAAGAGGCAATTTAAGGTAAATTTCATACATCTTTATCCCCAAAGTGATATGGAATAAAAGCAGTATATTTTAAAAGTTCATATAATACTGCGATGAATAGCCAGAAGTAAATGATGTAGGAGCCATGAAAGTTATAAGAACTAAACTAAAGCACTTTTTACATTTTTGAGTTGGACGAGGTAAACTTAAGGTAGTTTCAAAGAAAAGGTATAAAAGTGAACATTTTAATAGGGATCTGGGGGGGAGCGGGAAAGGAAAGTGTTTCTATTAGGGGAAAGCATTTAGAATGTTTGGGGATGTTTTCTATGGATAAGCATTACTGGCATTAAATGGGAGGGGGACAAATTTGCTAAACATCAGGTAGCACACAAGGCAGCTCCACACTACAGACACACATCCTGCTGGAATTCCAGTGGGTTCCAGTTACAAAACAGTGATGTAGAGGTACTCAGATTATTCATCCTACAAAAGGGGAGATCAAGGACCAAATGAATATTGATTTTGTGAAAGAAAGAATTTTCTCTTAAAAGTTGCTGATACAATTTTTGATTATGGAAAACGGTTTCAAAATTAAAATCCTTCTTTTAAAGATTTTTAGGGAGACCAAGGAAAATGAAATTCAGGATTTATTGAGGGCCAAGCGAGAGTTGGAGAGTAAACTTCAGAGGCTACAGGTTCAGGGGATCCATGTATTTGATCCTGGAGAGTCTGATTCAGATGACAACTGTACAGATGTTACTGGTAAATTTATTTCCTATATATAATATTTTGAGATTTCAATATAGGTATAATGATTATAGAGCCAACTTTGAATCCTTTTACTTATAAGTAATTGCTGTGACAAATAGAGTTGCACTTTCTCTTTCTCAGTTGTTATGACAGCTCTTTTCTATGAAGTCCATGATGTAGAGGCTGAGGTTCCTTCTCTCTCATTGTTCTACCAACCTTAACCCATAGCTTTTCTCTCTCTGGTCTAAGCCCCTCTAAGTCCCAACATCACATCTACAATTTAGCCAGGGGGAGGGAGGGAATACCTTACTTTCCTTGAAAGCACAATCTGAAAGATATACAGATTACTCCTACTCAAACCCCATTGGCCAGAACTCTACCTAGGAAGATGGGAAAGTGTAATCATTAGCGGAAGAGCCATGTATCCACATAAAATTTGGGGTTGTGTCACTAAAGGAAGAAGGGAAGAATGGATGTTGGAGGACAGTAGTCTATGTCACATTATTTTTCCACATAATTGATATATTCTTTACAACTATCAGAATATCTGCATAATATTTCACTGAGTGGTTTCCAATGCAGTTTTGTGAAATACTTTTAAAGTTTTTGTTTTACAATTAAACATAGAAAGTGTTTTTTCTAGAAATAAAGAAAAACTTGGAATCATAGACTGAAAGGGTCCACTGTGTTCCAAGGAAATAATAATGAAGTGTGATTGATTTTGAGAAATATTCTATTTTAAATGTGGTGGAAAAATGCAGTCACTCTACCATTTATTAAAAAAACTATAATTATATTCTTACAAACATGTATTTTGGAGTGAAATATGGCAACTAGCATCCTGGGACTTTTATTACTAACTTTTGAGAAAAAAAAGTGAAGTGATTCTTAATGGCATTAGTCCTCGTGATTATTTCAGTATTGACATATGTTAAAATGTACAGGGTTTCAAAACTATTATATTCTAATTCTCTTAGCAAGTTAATAAAAACGAGTTAATATTTCCTCATAGGTCTTTCTTCCTATTTCGATATAAACATGAAGAAGGAATGCTTGAGGGAATGTCACTCATTATTTGTCACCCACAAATAATAATCTCAGTTTTGCCAGAGATTTAGCCCAAATACCAGTTTACTTATGTTTAGTCAAGGATGCCATGAATTATTATTTATTAAAAAAAAATCAACATGTTCATAAGTACTTATTGATTCAGACAATTTTTTTTGCTCTGAGAGGTTAAAGAAAATGTGCTCTTTACATCCTTAGCTTACATCCTAATGAATTACCAATATTAATTACTGGTGTGCTAGTAATAGTCTTCCTTTGAAATTCTTTCTTTCACATTTTACACTGATACCTAAATCATATAGTTAGGAATGTTTTTTAGAATTTTTTTGTTGGGGGGTGTTTTTAACTCCTCTCTGTTATTATAATTCTTTTGGTTATTGTATTCCTAATTTCTTTTCATCTTTCTCTTTTTAATCCCCTTTTTAAGTTTGAGGTGATAACCAGAATTATGTTAACCACCACCTTAGAACTTGCCAGAAGTTGGTGGCAAAGTACTTTCAAAATCATTGTTTTGATTTCAAAATCAAACTTTGAATAGCTGTTGTATTTATAATATTGTTGTATTTTTTGCATTAGAAATCCATTGAATATATATGATAAGTTTTTGAAATTCCAATATAGTTTGGTTTTCATCAGATGAAATCTCTTGCTTTTACAGCTGCTGGACCCCAGTGCGAGTATTGGACTGGTGGAGCCTTGGGAAGTGAGCCCTCCATAGGGAGTATGATTCAGCTTCAGCAGTCTTTCCGGGGCCCTGAGTTTGCCCTTAGTTCTATAGATATAGAAGGACCCTTTGCTAACGTCAACAGAGGTAACACACGCCCTTTGCCAATTACCTTGGTTAATGGTAGTGACTGTTTGTGTACTATAATCTTATGCTGGGAAAACTGCCATCAGCAGAGCATGAGACTTGTGTTCTGGGTGTCTTCCACTGTCAAACCATCATGTACTCGTGCTTGTCACTGACCAGGAATGATGAAGTTACATAATTCACATCAGGATCAGTTGATGCCTCCCGGCCAGACTGGCCAATAGGTTCTAATAACTGAATTTCTGGTCTGAGTTCTCGGATATTTTAGTTGAGCGGTGAGAGCCTAATGTAGATTAACGGAAAAACAGTAGTGTTTAGTCTTCCCTCTGCATCTTTGATGGTGTTGAAGGTTAGAGAAGTTGTGGAGTAGAATACAAAACTTCAGTTATATAATATAGTATTCTTATTCATTATCTTTTATATAATTTGGTATCGAAAACAGCTCTTAAGATCTGTTCAGAATTTCAATACCACCTCAGATCTGAAATGTTATAAGTAGCTCCACTCTTTTCTTAAAACTTTGAAATATAGGGACTTCCCTGGTGGCACAGTGGTTGGGAGTCCACCTGCCAATGCAGGGGACACAGGTTTAAGCCCTGGTCCAGGAGGATCCCACCTGCTGTGGAGCAACTAAAGCCAGGGCTGCTGAGCTTGTGCTCTAGAGCCCGTGAGCCACAATTACTGAGCCCACGTGCTACAACTACTGAGGCCCACGCGCCTGGAGCCCGTGCTCCATGACAGAGACAGGCCACTGCAGTGAGAAGCCCATGCACCACAACAAGGAGTGGCCCCTGCTCACTGCGACTAGAGAGAGCCTTGCGTAGTGGCCAAGACCCAATGCAGCCAAAGATAAATAAATGAATAAATAAAATTTTTTAAAAACCTGAAATTATTTATCTATTAGCAAAATGAAAATTATTTTTTTAATTATGCATTTTGAATTAGTCAAATATGTCTTAAAATATTCATTCTCACTAACTATCTTTTGGTTATTTTTTGTACCGTTCTTGAACTTTCTTTTTGACTCAATGTATTTCAAAAATAATAAGTAGATAAAACTATAGGCCAGCCTGGGAATGTAGGCTCTCCTCAAGTAGCAAACTAATTGAACAGCCCATGTTGCCTAGTTCCCTGACATTTGACTGGAGCCACGGGTACCCCAGCAAAGACCACTGGTGACATTGATTGCTTTATGCCCCAGGATAGAATTTGAGGTTAGAGAACTGATTGCCTTCTGATACCTTATTCTAGATGCTTTGTCGGTATTACAAGTGAGATCAGATGATGCCTGTTGTTTTCTTTCAGACTTTTGGGGAATCATCTTGTCAAATGTTTTCTAGTAATTATTTTTCGGGAACTTATGAGAAATTTTATTTTCAGATGACTGGGATATTGCTGTAGCTAGTTTATTACAAGTTACCCCCTTGTTTTCACATTCTCTGTGGAGTAACACTGTCAGATGTTACCTCATTTATACAGATGAAACCCAGCCCGAAATGGATCTTTTCCTTAAGGTGAGGGCATTTATAAATTCTGTATTCACTGATTTAAAATAAAGTTAATATTGTGTCCTGGTTATGATACTACTGATTGCCTGAACCAAGTAGTTTACTACCCACTAGATTATGTCTTAAAGAGTAGGAAGCATCTTGGGCTTTTCTTAAGAAAACGTCTTACTCAGTATTATCAGTATATTCAAATTAAGGCCTTAGAACTTTATGCTTTTGAAAACTTCATTACACGTTCTCCACAGTGTTTACGGCCCTTACTGATGGTTCCTGCTATAGTTAATACCTGCCAGCTCTATTCTTGAATCTGTTTCAGATTATGTCAAAATTTAATCCTTGTCATGGTTTTAAATTTTTCAAGGCAGCCATTGGGGTTAATCTAAGGCAGGGGTCAGCAAACTACAGCCTGTGGGCCAAATCTGGCCTGCAGTCTGTCTGTGTATGACCTAGAGCTAAGATTGGTTTTTACAGTTTTAAACGGTTGAAAAAAATCAAAAGAAGAAGAATATTTTGACATGAAAATTATATGAAATTCAAATTTTGGTGTCTATAAATAAAGTTATATTGGAACACAGCCACGTGCAATGTATTGTCTCAGGTTGCTTCTCACTAATGGCAGAATAAATTATGATGGAGACTAAATGGACCACAAAAACCTCTGCCAGAACAGCCAAGTTCTTAAGCTGTTATTAATTTGCCATCTGGCCCTTTACAGAAAAGTTTACCAACTACTGTTCTAACTGAATTTTAAACAAATATGCATGTCACATGCTATACCTGCTATATTAACATCATCCAGATTGTTGATTAATAAGTTCATTTAGCTTTCCTTTTTGATAATACTCAGTTTTGGTAAAAAGACAAAGTATTTTGAAAACCAAAGCTTCTACTCATTGAGTATAGGCTGTTCCCAAACACATGTTGAGGGAATTACTAACTTATTGCATAATAATAATCATCATACTAAGTGCCTTAATTTGTTATAGACCAACATATTTTTATATCTGTTTGCTTTAGTGTTCTAATATATCACGGCGGACACTTTTTACTATATAAATCTGTGGATTTACATTTTTCACCCTATAACAATAAACAAAAGTCATTTGTAATAATAATAATAAATAACTACCAAAGCAAAATAGTCTAATACTTTACTCCTGTTGTTTTAGGTTTATTATGAGATAAATCATTTTCTGAGCTAGGAAACAGGAAAGTTGCTAAGCTATTACTATTTTTATTTTATAGAGAAACTTGCCTTTTCTCTTAAAGATTTTCTTTACGATGTGATCATATAATTTTTAAAGTTTTAAATCAGAGAATATACAACATAACCTTTTTGATTTTAAGTAGTATGAATCTGACTAGATCTTTAGTTAAATAAGCTGTGCTTTCTTATGTTTTAATTTGTTTTTAGGACTATTCACCTAAACTTAAAAGAATGTGTGAGACAATGGGATATTTTTTCCATGCTGTGTATTTTCCAATTGATATTGAAAATCAGTACCTCACTGTAAGAAAATGGGAAATTGAGAAGAGTTCATTAGTTATCTTATTCATTCATTTAACCTTACCAAGGTAAGCTGAAAATTCTATAATTTATTATAGAAGTTAAACTCATAAATAGAAATTGAGATTACCAGATGAACTTGAAAGATAAGTTCTAATTGCATTCTTACAATCAAAAACAATCCATGAAATTCAGTAAATTCTATGACTTTTAATATGTGAATAAAATAAAAAATTAAAAGTTTCACGCTGTTAGGCTTGTTAATAGGTTATAAGATTAACATCATTAATGTAAAGATCATTTTAATCAGACGTCAGCAACCTATGGCCCTCAGGTCAAATCCAGTCAGCCACCTGTTTTTATAAATAAAGTTTTATTGGAGCCCAGGTATGGTCATTCATTTATGTATTGTCTACAGCTGCTTTCACACTACAACAGCAGAGTTGAGTATTTCAGCAGAGACTGTATGGCCCACAAAGCCTGAAATGTTTACTAGCTGACCCTTTACAGAAGAAGGTGGTGACCCCTGATTTCAATAATCAGCATTAACCTTCATTATTTTCTTTCTTCAGATACAGATTGAGAGGCACTTGAACACTTGCATAGGTGTTAAATCATATTTTTAATTCTCTGAGGAGCTAACTACTTAAATCCAGTAAAGTGAGCAGTTTTCTTATAATGTGAAATATAATCACATCAATGAATCTAGTCTGCAAATGAAGCTTTTTTTTTTTGTTACCAGTTAGATATATAGATAGAAGACAAAGTAAGATAGATAGGAGGTTAAATAAGAAGTTAATTTTTCTTTCTATATTTTCTATCTGATTGGATTTAATCCTTCCAAAGCATTTTTCTCTTTTTATTGAGGACCAACTCTGACTTTAACTGTGTTTGGAAGTGTTTGGAGCCCTAAGCTTTATGAGAGTTCCTGCAATATAACCTATCATTGATCCTTAAGACTCTACCCGGAGACCAGGTGGCCAAGGAGCTACCTGGTCAAGGAACCTTTTCCCAAAATAAGTTTAAGGATTCCTTCAACTTGATTTCCTTTAGTTGGAGTCCTTTACCTCCCCTTCCCTCTTTTATTTTCCTGTTTTGTTTTTATATTAAGAATATATCTGGGGCTTCCCTGATGGTGCAGTGGTTGAGAGTCCGCCTGCTGATGCAGGGGACACAGGTTCGTGCCCCGGTCCGGGAATATCCCACGTGCCGCGGAGCGGCTAGGCCCGTGAGCCATGGCCGCTGAGCCTGCGTGTCCGGAGCCTGTGCTCCGCAACGGGAGAGGCCACAACAGTGAGAGGCCCGTGTACTGCAAAAAAAAAAAAAAAAAGAATATATCCTGTTTTATTCTTTAATATCTAGGTAGTATTTTATCTTAGGTGATAGTATATCTCACTTGTTGTTTTTCTCTTGTTAATGCTTTAATCCTTAAAACTATGTTGTTTTTTCTTTCTGTTTTCTTCTTTTTGCTTTTTTTCTCTGTTTCGTATTGGGGCTGGTATTTTAGTTTTTTACGCAAATTCTGAATCATATAATGGCTTTCCCCTGTATACACACAGTAATTTGCCTTTCTAGACAAACTTTCATTTAATGCTTTTTAGAAAGGGGAATTGTTTAGTTTTCCTTGTGGTGTAGAAAACACTAGTAGGTTATTTGAAGATTTTTCTGGAATTTAAATAGGAATGGTACAAACTGTAGTTACAGTACATTGAGCATAGTTAGAATTTTTTTTTAACCTTTACCACAGTCAAGATTTTAATAGCTATCTAACCTTCCCCATCTGCCTCTGGATCTTTCTTACAGTGTATCTGGGGTATAAGGATTCAGATCATTTATTGAATGAGTAGAGGCTAAAGGATTAGAGAAGAGAAAAATCTTGAAACCTTGAGGCTGATGATTTTTGTGTTTTAACTTGAAATTATATAATTGTGAATAGAATTAGGTTTTCCATTTATTTGCAAAGTCTCATGAGCATGGACCATTATTTTGAGCAATGTTTAACAGTATTTTTGAGAAGTTTTTTTTAAATTAGATTTTAAAATATTAAAATTATGTATGCTTTAAAATTTAATTTATTGTACCTACTCTCATTGTCTGCTAGTGAATATATTATACTTTAATATTGACACTAAGCTAGAACAGAGCTATAAAAACAACCATTTTTGGAAAGTTTCGCTTATTCTGCAGCGGGGCCTTTTCTGGCCACTTGTCATTGTAGTAAATCCCCCTTCTTGGCACTTAGGTTAATTGACTAACTGTGTGCTGCTACAGTGCAGCATAGCACAAGAAATACTGATTTCCAATCTAGCCTGTTATTGGAAGACTGTGAAGAAGCTTTTCTGAAAAACCCTGAAGGCAAACCACGATTAATTTATCATCGTTTGGAAGATGGGAAAGTCAGTTCTGACTCTGTCCAGCACCTGATTGATCAAGTTTCTAACCTGAACAAGACCAACAAAGCCAAGGTAAAATTCATAGGTTTTTTTTAAGAACCTATGCTTGGCAGAGAGAGGCGCTGGCGTGTTTGGGGAGAGGAAGGAAGCCAGCGGGGCTGGAGCAGAATGAGTGAGGGGAAATAAGTAGGAGCGGTCATCGGGGCCGATGCTGAAGAACCTTGTTTTTTTTACTTAGAGTGAGGTGGGGAGCCATTGAAGGATTTAACCAAAGAGGAAGAATTGACTGTGTTGAGAATCGACTGTGGTTTGGAGGGAAGGTAGTGGGATAGGGCAGAGGTGGAGAGCTGTTGCCGTCATCCAAATGAGAGATGCTGGTGGCTTAGACCAGGGTGGTGGTAGAGGATGTGATAAAAAGCAGTAGGGGGCTTCCCAGGTGGCACACTGGTTGAGAGTCCGCCTGCTGATGCAGGGGACACGGGTTCGTGCCCCAGTCCGGGAAGATCCCACATGCCACGGAGCGGCTGGGCCCGTGAGCCATGGCCGCTGAGCCTGCGCGTCCGGAACCTGTGCTCCGCAACGGGAGAGGCCACAACAGTGAGAGGCCCGCGTACCGCAAAAAAAATAAAAAATAAAGCAGTAGGATTCTGGATAAATTTTGACAGAGCCAATAGATTTCCTAACAGATTAGTTGTGGACTATGAGAGAAAGAGAGGCATCAACAGCAATATGTGCCTCAAAAGTGTATGATCTGTAGTGGATAAATCAGAATCTCTACTGTGCTTTTTTCCCAAGCACAGAGTCCTTCTATCTATTATTGACCAAGGATTAGTGTAAGGAGGAGCCTTTTCATGGTAACCTTTCCTGAAAGCATTGGGAAAAGCCAAAAACTGATGATGAGTAGAAGGATTTGATCATCCCTAGATGCGTGGTAGGATATATTTTAGAATAGAGATTACAGGCTTTGCATTACTAACTTGGTAAATGTTTAATGTAAATGTTTATAGTAAATGTTTATAGTTAGTGTTAAGAATACAATCAAAAACAACCCTAGGATTTTGACGAAGTTTCTGTTTCTCTATGCCTAGCCAGAAAATAAGATCAAATATGAATACAGGCATTTTTCTTGAGGCCAGCATAACATAGTGAAGAGTCTAAGACAAGAGTACATTTTTATTACAGTTAATCTCCAAAGCCATTTCATTCTTTGTTTGAATTATTTTAGTACCAGCCTAGTTCACTAGGTGCCACGACGAAAGATATTAATCTTTATCTTTTTTCTATTTATTCTATAAATATTGCTTTTAAAAATCAGTATACTAGAGGATGAATTTTTTTATATAGGAGTCAAATAAGATCCCTCTACTATGATTATAAATTTAAATGTAGCAAACTTCTTTGCTTTATTGGCATAAAGATGGATTTTGAAGGTTATGTGTATTGAATGGTACAGAATACATAAGATGAAATTAAAGTAGCTGTTTAACTCATGTGTGTGTGTCAATGTGTTGGCATGCATACGTGTGTATACACATGTGTACGTGTGTATATGTGTATATGTGTGTGTGTTTACAAAAAAAAACATGACCTTTATTCAGGACATCAAGAGAAGGGACACTCAGCAGAGTGATTAAAACAATAAAGGCTGGTGTTGGGCTTTTCCCAGCTTTGGAATGTTCATACCCACAAAGGTGAATTGATTAGCAAGGTATCCACAAGTTCTTACCTGAAGCAGAAGTGTGAGAATTCAGCCATTGGAATTTTCCTGAAAAAAGACCATTCCTTTCACCCTGGGCCAAGCCCCCCAGCCAAGCAGGGGAGGAACTGAGAGTGACAGTTGGGGCGGCGGTGGGGGGATTGCCTTGTCCTCTGTACCAGCTCCCCGACCTGTCCCCCAAGTGAAGGTCGTGGAGCTTCCCTCCGCCTTGGCACGTGGCTCCTCCCCCCACCACTCCTCTGGATCATTCCATAAGTAACCCACAGATTTGTTGAGCACCTACTGTGTGCCAGGCCCCAGCCCACAGGGGAAAGCAGAGGGGGTCCCATTGTCTCCCACAAATGAAAGGTTGGTTCCCTCTGACCACTACAACCTGGGACCCCAACCCTTCCATATTTCCTCAGGTTACCCTGGTTACCCTTCCGAAACAAACAGGCAGAAAGCAAGCACTATTCAGGGAGGGCTTTTATATGAACCTATGTGTTCAGGTTATAGGACAAGAAGAAAAAAATAAAAACTATTTCCCCCAAGGCTGTGAGCTGAAAAGAATCAAGCCAAACTTAGGAACATTTTCCACACTCTCTGCTCCACATGATAAAGTTTATTTCTGTTTGCGTCCAAGTGCTGGCAGGGACAGAGGCTCCATGGCCTCACTATGCACCGTGGGGTCGCAGACGCTGCTACCAGGGCCCCAGCACACACCATCCCACCTATCTGGTTCCTTAACAGGTTCCTGCTGTCACATGTCAAAATGGGCAGGTGTGTGCATCATCCAGACCAAAGTGGACTTTCAGTGGTGACACCAGGTTCTGGACAGAGTTTTGGTATCACCAACTCCAGTCACTTTCTCAGATGGACACATAAGCAAAACAGAAAGCATACTTTTTGTTTTATTTGCAACATTGTTCACACTAAATCCGTTGTGTGACCTTAGACGAGTTTTTTAACTTGCCTCAGTTTCCTCTTCTATGAAATGGAGAGAATAACAGTGCCTCCCTTGTAGGGTTGTGAGGGTAAATGAGCTAATATATGCAAAGTACTTAGAACAGTTCCTAACATATAAGCATTCTAAAAGTGTTTACCGCCCCCTCCTCCTCCTGTTAGTCTTGTTTTTTTCTTGTTGTTAAACTTCTTTTTTTCCCCCCAGATCATTGATCACTCAGGAGATCCTGCAGAAGGAGTCTATAAAACCTATATTTACGTAGAAAAGATTATTAAACAGGTAAATGTGCATTCCCTGTAAGATTTCTGCTCAAATATCTTAAGAGTGATTTCAATAAAATTGGGTTTTCCAGAGAAAATCCCGTATTTGGTTTTTTTTGAAAACAATACCGGGGTAAAGTGCCCTCTTTTCTGGCAAGAGTCCATCTGGTGGTATTATTGTGTTATTCCCAGTACCATGTATCTGTATCTCTCAGTTGTCTCACAAACGATTTGATGTTTTAATATCCGTTAAGTATAAAATGGATTACAAAAGTGGTAGGTAAAAAGGAAGTATATGAGGGATAATGTTCACCCTATTCAACAGAGAGTCTCCTTAGATTCTGTGTGCACCTTGAGTTTTTGTATATTAGAAAAATCTGTCTTGAATTTTTCTACCACATTATCCCCGTAGCAATAGAGAGGGGTGAAAACACACCTCTAGGTGTCTGAGATCATGGATCACAGAGGTGTCTCAAACTGAAAGTTTCTATGATGTCTCAGTATTATCTTGAAACTTTATGCGAATTATATATTCTGCTTGATGTTTACCTGTCCTTTTTTACTATTAAAAATCATTTAAAATTATGTATCAGCAAAAATTCTAATAATGATAAGAAAAAGAAAAATAATTCCCTATCTTCAAGTAAAATGGGCACCAGATGTTTAGCTTGTGTTTATCCTTACCTGCTGGCCCCTCCCTCAGGGTACCAGGGACCCTATTTGAGAAGTAAGGGATTAAATTGCTTTTTTAAATTAACTTGTGTTACAAGTATGCAGATTTGTTATCAGAGAAAAAGAGTGAGCCCCAAAATAAGATGAATTGAACAGAGTAAATGGCAGTAAGTGAAAATGGACATATTGACCAACTTTACCATTTGTAGGACAACATATTTTCAGTGATTAATATAAAGACTAGACATCATAGCAGAGATATTTGATATCAAGAAACCCCATCTTAGTAATTAAATGCTTGTAAAAATGTAAAGCAGCATATTTCTTAGACATTAGCACGGTCTTTAAAATTGTTCACCAGCCAGATATAACCAAAGATACTGTGTAACATTTTTCAGAAACCAGATTGCCTCTAACTTTATTTTTAATGAATGAGAGTGGTGTTTGTTTTTATTATTTTAATATTTCTTTACTTCTTTTCTTTATTTTTAAACTATTGCTTATTTTTATAGTTATAAATTGATCCCTGGAGGTACCATACAAAGGCCATAGGTTTGGGCTTGCCCTCCGAGGTAGGTGAGGGCCACGTTAGGCCTGTGTGCTGACAATACTGTACAAGGTCTTCACTTCCTTTGTTTGCTTTTGTGTGCTTGCTCTTGGTGTTCAGGACATCCTGGGCTTTGAAACTACAGACCTGGAAACTAAGGATTTGGGCAGTGAAGATTCTATTCCAGAAGAAGATGATTTTGGTGATGTTCTGTGGGACATACATGATGAACAAGAGCAAATGGAAGCTTTTCAGCAGGCTTCAAATTCAGCCCATGAGTTGGGATTTGAGAAAGTAAGCATTTGGAGTATTGTTCCAACAAAGATCAGTTACTGCTTAAAGGCTGTATCATAATTGTGGTTTCACCTAATTATAGTCAAGGTTGAGGATTGTGTTAGTATCTGCCCTCATGGCTTAATTATCCATGTTGAGACATGTGCTTAGGTTTGTATCATATGAAAGATGTGTGAGATTCAAATATACTTACGAATATCAAACATGTTTAGTTACAGATTAGGATTTATCAACTACATGTTTATTATGCTACCATTTGCAATTCGCCAGACCAAGTTTAGGATACCTAGGAAACTTGATAAAAATAGGAAGGCTCTCTATTGTTCCAATTCTTGGAGGAATCAAAATATCAAACATTCAGAAAACAAAGCAGAGTAGTTAATGCAGTAGGCAGGTCAGTCCTTCAGCATCCTTAAACATTTAAGCAAATAAACAAAACTAGAAGTGCACAAAGAATCTGTGTTCAAGTTCAAAAATACTTAATAATATTTTAAAATTAATATAAGAACTAATATCTTGAAGAATATTACAGTAGCTGTCACAGCTGTATTTTTATAGGATTTTTAATGACTTTCATAATTTAGACTGTCAGTGTTTATGTCCTGGTTCCACCATTTCCTCACTATGGATTTTGATCAAGTTACTTAGCTCTAAACTTTGACTTTCTTGTCTGTAAAATGAGGATAATTAATAACACCTATCTCACATGGTTGTTTGGGGTTCTAAATCAGGTCATGCACAAAAAGCACTTGGCACGGTACCTGGCATATGGTAAATGTTAAATTGTTGTCATTTTATAAGAGAGGAATTGCTATCACTATTTTATTATATAAATGAAGGACCTAAGGTCCAGATTATAGTTTGCCTAAGAGCATACAGGGTGTAGATTGCAGATGTGAGATTTTAACCTAGGTCTTCTGGCTCCAAATCCTATGCTTTCTTCTATGGCAAGGGGTCTTAATGTGGGAAACATGGGTCTATAAATGGGCTTTAGTTGGGACCACGAACTAAATTGTTAGGATTTACAAGGTCATAAATCAATTAAGCCCTTTTCTTCTTGAGAAGTATCATTTCTATGAGAAATATTTGAATTCCTGGGGAATATGATATGACAAACAGAAAAATTGATAGAAAAACTATACCAAGTAATTATTTATTGTAGTTGCTGGAAATTTCTGCTACCCTAAAGCTCGCATAAACTACTTATTACACATTCTTTTGACTCCTCATCAGCTATCATTTAGACCACTGGTACACTTAAGAAACATCCTAACCCCCAAGATGACTTTGGAAACTCCTTTATAACGACTGAGATATTTCAGTTTTCTGAGCATGTCCTTTTCAGCTCTGAACGAGGTTTTCCTATCTGGGGAAAGCCTAGGAAATAGGAGTTCTCAGACTTTGCATGGAACACATGCAGTTTCAGAAAGATCTCAGGTGTCCTAGCTTGGTTCTCAGTAGCATGTTGGGAGACTCCAAGGCCCCAGACAAGACCCTCTCTTGTTTCTCTGGAAACTGAGACAGGACAGGTGTTCTTCTGGACAGGTGTTCTTCTGACCAGGAGATGTAGGGATGCCTGCTGGTGCCCTCAAGGCCACCTGTGGTACTTTCCATGGTTCAGGAACTTGGGGTAATGCAGTAGTCTCTCTGCAGCATTCTGCAGGACATCTGAATGGTGCAAAGCCCCATGGGGATCTGAAAGGTTGCCCCTCATCCATTAATACTATGGTAGGAGAAATTGGGGCCCATTCTTAGTTTTACTACTTTGGACATATTTAACCAGCCATAAAAATAAGCAGTTATGAGGGTGCTATTGATTAAAAGTAGATTTCATTTTTTCATGCAGCTTTTCTCCACTGATTTCAGAGGATAATCAGAAATTGACTCTATTTAGTGTTCTAAGAGGCATGTTCTTTTTCACAATTTAAATTCATTTTTATTTCTAGTATTACCAGCGCCTTAATGATCTAGTGGCAGCACCAGCACCAATTCCACCCCTTCTTGTATCTGGAGGACCAGGCTCTGGAAAGTCCCTTCTTTTATCAAAGTGGTATGATTCAGTGCAATTAAATTGTTATCGTTGTCATCATTTGAATTACTGAGCTCGTTCAACAAAATGAATTATTGGATGTCTACCTTGCTACAGGGCCTGTACTGAACATTAAAAAAGCAAAAAGAGTAATATAACAGACTCATGCCCTGAGATATATACAAGTTGAAAGTTAGAGAGAAGATACAGAATGAGAAAGGAATAGGAAATGTGAGCATTTGTGATTGTGTACATAAATTATGTAGGTCAGAGCTAAGGGAGTGGTCACTGTGGCATGGAGTTAGGTGAATTATAGAGGGCATGTGCCTTTATTTTCAATTACTGGCTTCATCGTAAAAGTTTCATTGGGATTTTAAATATTTGAAACAAGACAAAGACTGACTATTTAGAGTGGAATAAATCATAAAGAATATCAAAATAAAGGATAATCTTTACTATGAATGCAAACTAGTTCTTCAAATTATGGACTAAGGTTCATATAAGCTAATAAACTCTTAGTTTTATTTTAGTTCATCATATTATTGAAAAACAAGTGGTAAGACCATTTCCTTTCACTTATAGTTATTATTTACATTGAGGAGTTGGTGTATGTTGTTTCCTTTTTATTGCCCTGTTATTCAGAGTTATGTTTGGAAATACTATTTTTGTACTTAACAAAGAAACTTCCTTTTTCCTTTAATAACATACTTGTAATTAAAGGTTAATGCTCACTTTACTAATACTTTAACCTCAAATGTATAGTGTTTTGGTTTACGTTAGTAACACCAATTTGTAATTAAAATGAAGCTATAATTTTTAATGGTTTATTTAAAAGAATCTAAAAGTGGTGTAAAAATGGAAATTTCCCGTATTAATTCAAAATTGACTGACCATGTAATTACTAACAGGTAGCATTTGATGCTTAATGTATTGTGAATTCTTTTTTTGTTGACCGTAAAGGAGCTTCATCAGTCTTATAAAAGGTCTTTTTCTTTCAGGATTCAGTTACAACAGAAGAATTCCCCTAACACACTAATTCTTTCTCATTTTGTGGGGAGGCCCATGTCAACCAGCTCAGAGTCTTCCTTGATTATTAAACGACTGACTCTAAAGGTAGAAAAATACACCATCTTTTGGAGTTATCAGAAATTTTATTTAGATTCAGAAGTTGTCAGGCCTGAGTACCTGATGATAAACCAATTTTCAGTATTACACATTTGTTTTGGTTTTGCATAAGGTTAAAAATTATACTCAATGCAGCTGGGTCCTTTTGGTGACAATTTTGGTTTAAAATGCAGAGACAGAAATACTTCTCACCAGTTGTGATACAGTGTAGCTACTTTAATTTGCATGTGTTCTCACCTTGTAGTTGATGCAGCATTCTTGGTCAGTATCTGCTCTGACATTGGATCCTGCTAAGCTTCTGGAAGAATTTCCACATTGGCTGGAAAAACTGTCTGCCCGTCATCAAGGCAGCATCATCATCATTATTGATTCTATAGATCAAATTCAGGTATGTTTTCACTTTTTAACCTATTGATATACTCAGAAAGAGACAAAAATATTTGTAGTGACTATAGCAAACATTTAAATCATATGTTTGTGAGAAGAAAATGTTGATGTTGTTTCTTTTATTTCTGCTTAATTTCTAGAGAGGAAGCATGTAGATTATATATATATATATATATATGCCAGTAGTTGCTAGTATCTTATTGGGAAGGACAAACTGTATTTTCACAATTAGCAAATATTGTTCATTTTGACATGGTTTTAGGGCCTTGACATTTCCTTACATGCCCAGAATTCAGATCAGTGATAGTAGTGTTTTGCCACTTGTTCTTCTAATATTCTGAGATAAATCATCCAAAAAATAAGATTTTATCCTTAATAATAATGAGAAATTTAATGAGAATTTCAGTTTACTTTGGGATCTGTTATTGGGTTGCTTTTGAAATATTTTGAATTAATAGATGGAATTTTGTTTTTATATTTTTAAGCAAGTTGAAAAACACATGAAATGGCTGATAGATCCACTGCCAGTGAATGTAAGAGTAATTGTTTCTGTGAATGTGGAAACATGCCCTCCAGCATGGAGGTAAGTGCTAAATTTAATTCTTTCAGATTACATGAACTTTTTAAAGTATAAACAAAGAAAGGTTTTTGATATGTGTATTTCTCATATTTTTCATATGATGTCAGTGAGGATGGGGAGAAGTGGACAAATTCAAGAAAAGGATGCAATCTATAGGATTTGGTGGGAGGTTAGATCAGAGATGTGAGAAAGAAAGCTAGGATAGCTCCCAGGTTTCTGGCTTGAGAAATTAAGTAAACTATGGTTCCATGAACTGAGATGGGAAACACAAAGGATGGGCAGGTTTGTGGAGCAAAGGTCATGACTTTTGTCTTTGGACATGGTTTGTTTGAGTTGCCGATTGTAGCTCCAATTGGTGATGTCTAGTAGGCAGTTAAATTTATGGGTGAGGAAAACGGGGAAGGCCGGGCTAGGAAAAATAGACCAGAGACCTGTGGTCCTGAAATGTAAGCTCACCTTAACAGTCCTCAAAAAGGGATGCAGTGGTTGAGTTCTGTAAGGCAGTGTTTCTTGACCTATTTTTGCCTCTCCACCCTAGGAGCCCGTTAGTGATTTTCTTCCTAATCACCTACCAAGAAGTGTTAATACCATACATATATCATATATCAATTCATGAATGTAAATAAATATGTGTGTATATTTCTGCTTTATGCATAAAGAGAGTAAGATTTCCCCTCCCCAACAAACAATTTTCACCACGCCATTGAGAATGGATGTTGTAGGGTGTAAATTCTAATTGGATTACAAGTAATCTGTGGACGAAGACTGTCTGACACTATTCCTCACAGACACTAATACCTGTGTTGTTTTACTGATGGTATAGAACTGGAAATGTTATACACTTCGTGTATAAGCTATTTATAACAGTGTTTGTTGTGATTAATTGCTAAAAAATGAAATACTATTAATATGATTAACAGAGATTAATTTTGTTTATTTTATGAAGGCAGTATAAAAATTTAATTCTTGTAATGGACTTTGATTAGTCTTGTGGGTAGATTACAGCAATTTCATTTTTCTTTTCTTTAAATAAAAGGTTGTGGCCTACACTTCATCTTGACCCTTTAAATCCTAAAGATGCAAAATCTATTATAATCGCAGAATGCCACTCTGTAGACATTAAACTGAGTAAAGAGCAGGTAAGTATTTTTAATTTTGCTGCTTTCTTTTACTCTCTATAGCTTTCCTTATAAAAACACCTTATATGAGACTTAAAATTCAATTTAGTACTCTATATGGTTCTAAGGAAAATTGGAACTTAGTAATAATTACTTTCTTAAATGCATTTACTCTTAAACTAATAACAGATATAGAAGAAGCAATAAAAAAAACTTTGGTCTTAAAGTTTACTATATTATATTAAGCAGTATTTTAAAAGCAAAAAAGCATTTGCATGTTGATGGCATCTGTGGTCCAGTACCACACGGCAGTGATGCCGCTGATGAGGTGGCAGGAACCGTGTTATTTCTGCAGGGATATTTGTTGATGGCTTGGTTGTAAAGACCGCTTAATTCCAGGGTGGTTTTGTATTTCTGTTTTGTTTTTTGGTAAACTGGTGCAGGAGAAGAAGCTAGAACGACACTGTCGTTCTGCTACAACCTGCAATGCCCTTTATGTCACTCTTTTCGGCAAAATGATTGCGTGGTAAGTGGTGGTTATTTTATGTCATCTTCAGCATGTTTGTGTTTGCTGCAGAACGCTTCTTCACTGTGTGAAACTGAAAACTGATCATTATGACAATCTCTTGGGCCACTAAGATTCTGTGTATTCTAACAGTGATACTAACAACCATGAGAATGTGACTTATGACTGAAGATTGCTGCTAGTCCTTGAATATCAGAACTTGTTGGATATATCTGTCTGGTTTTCATCACAATAACCTTCTCCTGACTGGAGGTTGCAAAAGAAGGCCATCTTTGGCCTCAATTTGGGGCCTACCCAGGAGTGCTCATTGTCGCCTCCTTGAGGCCCGTAGCTTTGAGAAAGTGAGGAGACAACTAAGGCATAAAAATGTTATTTCAGGTGTCTTTCACTATCAGTAGGTAGGTATGTAGGTAGGAATTTTTAATTGTCTCTGTTCCCACGTCCTGATAAACCTTTCATCTTACAATTGGTCTTCTGTTTTAGAAATCCATTCATAATTTGCCTTTAGATAAGCAGTAGAGTTTTACTACTTTTACTTCTTCTTCAGTACAGCCTCACCTACTCTGTCTGTTCGCAACCAGAGGTAAAAAGATCAACACTTGTTTTGGTATTCATCACAGTAGGTTGTAATCCTAGCACAACTCATATTCTAGACACTAAATCTAGTACTCTTGTCTCTTAATTCCACATTCTCACCTGAAGCACCAAATTTGAAACGAAAAAAATCTTCTGAAACTTTGAATTGTCCATGATATTTGATATTTTCATTGTCCCCAGAGTTGTGGCGGTACATCTGTGAACATCAGTGGCTTGCATAAGTACAGTTCGAGAGTCATGCATTTCCTAATAGTTATTGAAATTATCTCTTTTAAGAGGGACTATGGAACCATTTTTTTGTTTTTTCCCTATTCTTTGCATATCTTTGTATTTAAAAAGGAAACTACTGGTAAATATTGTGTAATATTTTAAAACAAACCCCATTTACTGATTTTCTTTAGCCTGATGTTTTCCAAATTCTGGTTCTATTTTTTTTAATTTAATTTGCATGGCTAACTAATAATACTTATTTATAATTATTTTCCTGCTTCCTGTATGTAGGCAGCATGCCTCTAGGTGATAAGAACCATGTCTTACTCATTTTTATGTTCCATAATGTATAGTAATTACTTGATACATAGTTAAGTCCCAGCATATGTTTATTGAATTGAATTAAATGGTAATACACTAAAATAACTGTGATGACTCTAGCAGCCCCATAAAACTAATGTTTTCCTGTGTCATGTTTTACTGAATTCCTGTTGTTATCAGTTAAACAGTACAAAACATAGAGTTAAAATAGAGCACTGTTTTTATTTACCCCAAGTTTTTCACAGATGTTGGCAGACTGTAAGAAATTAAATCTGTTCTCAATTCCAACAGTGCTGGGAGAGCAGGCAATTTAGATAAAATCCTTCTTCAGTGTTTCCAGTGTCAAGATACTGTTTCATTATATAGACTTGTTCTTCGATCTATCCAGGAGTCCATGACAAATGATATGGATAAAGAGCTAATGAAACAGGTAAAGTGTAATAAACTTATAAAGTGAAGATTATTTTGCCTTGTTTGTATTTGTGTGTGAATTGAAGTAAACAGTAAATCCGTGTAATGCTAAATATGTTTCGAGCATATACTATACCCACTACCATAGTGTGCTGTGGCCAGAAGTGATATCTCGGGGAATTTGCATTTTCCTGATTATCATGGAGAGTTTTCATCTTTTCATGCTTCTTGGTTATTCTTGTTTCCTCTTAGGTGAATTGCTTGTTCAAGTCCTTTACCCATTTTTTAATGGAGTTGACTTTTTCTTGTTGATCTGTTAGGAGTTTTTAAATGTTCTACATATTGAATACAAATCCTTTGTTATAGAGTTTGCAACTCAGTGTCTTTTTCCTGTTCTTGTCTTTTAACTTTATGGCGTCATTATACAAAGTTTTATTTTAATGAAGTCAGATTTATCAACAGTTTCTTTCATGGCTTATGCCTGTTGTATCTTATTTTTTTTAATCCTTTGCTATCATAAAAGTATTCTTATATTTTTTCCCTTCAAAATATTTTATAATTTTGTTCTTCATGTGTGAGTCCTTAACTCATATGATATATTTTTATTTATTGTGTGAGGAAGGAATCTACTTCTTTTTTTTTTTTTTTTTTTAGCTACATGACTTGCGGGATCTTAATTCCCTGACCAGGGATTGAACATGGGCCACGGCAGGGAATTCCCAGGAAGCTACTTCTCAGTCTTTTAAAATACAGCTAGTTAATTGTTCATTGTACTTAATACATCTTTTCTACTGATTTGGAATGCCATCTGTCAAATATCAAGCTCACATATAAACAAGAGTCTGTTTCTAGGCTCTTCTGTTCCAATTTACTATTCCTTGTCAATACCACTGTCTTAACTATTAGAACTTTAAAGTAAGCTTTGATATTTGGTTAGGCAAACCCCCTCTTAATATCTTCCATAGTTGTCTTGGCTAATTTCCCACATGTATTTTTAGAATTGGCTCAGCAAGTGCCATGGAAACTCTATATGCAATTTTTTTTTTTACATCTTTATTGGAGTATAATTGCTTTACAATGGTGTGCTAGTTTCTGCTTTATAACAAAGTGAATCAGTTATACATATACATATGTTCCCATATCTCTTCCCTCTTACGTCTCCCTCCCTCCCACCCTCCCTATCCCATCCCTCTAGGTGGTCACAAAGCACCAAGCTGATCTCCCTGTGCTATACAGCTGCTTCCCACTAGCTATCTGTTTTACGTTTGGTAGTGTATATATGTCCAGGCCACTCTCTCGCTTTGTCACAGCTTACCCTTCCCCCTCCCCATATCGTCAAGTCCATTCTCTAGTAGGTCTGTGTCTTTATTCCTGTCAATATGCAATTTTAATTGTAGTTGGGTTGGATTTAGAGGCTAAGTTGGGGGAAATTATCATATAAGTCTTCTCCTTCATGGAAAGCTAAATAGCTCTCCATTTATTTAGTCATCTTCTTGAATGACGATTATCAATAACATTTTATCTTCTTCCCCATAAAAGTCTTAAACATCTTCTGTTAAAATTTGTTTCTAAGGACTTTATAGTTAAAATAACATTTTAAAATTGTTTGTTTCTGGTTATTCAATTTAATTTTTGGAAATTTACTAGCAACCTTGCAGAACTCTTATAGTTTTAACCTGGATCCATTTTTATGTCTATTTCTCAGGTTGGGGGTTCCCCTGGGTTTGACTTTTCATTCTGCCTCTAAGCCCACAGTCTTCTGTCTGTTCGCTGTTTCCCTCAGGCACTCCATCACTAAGGGGACAGCCTTTGAAAGGTCCCTGTGTTGGCAAGCATTCTATCATAGTTCCAGCTCCTTGCTTCACAGAGCTTAAAGGCTCCCCGTCCATCCTGACGGTGGGTGTGAAAACCCAAGCTAAGTTAAGAGACTGTTGCTTATCCTCTCTCCTCACTTCACCCAGGGACAGCAGCTCCAGCACTTAGCCCTCTAATTTTCAGTTTCCTATTTATTTGGGATACTTGGGGGATTTCCCTTTCTTTTCTGCAGGTTCAGTTGTGCTTTTGGAAATGTTTTGTTACATGTTATCTGACATTAACAGGCATTTGTAGTAGGAGGACTGTTTTCTTCCACCATCTTCCCAGAATCAGAACTCTGTCATTAGTTTTAATAATACATTTCCTGCAGTTTTAATTTTCACTAAACTTTTTCTATATGTGTGTTATCTTTGGTGTGCTAGACTTTATATGTACACTATCTTATTAGTGCCTTTTGGAAAGTGTGTTTTATTTTAAGAAATCTGTTTCTTAGTTTATTAAATCACTTGAATGATAAATTCAAATAAGTTAAAAAGTTTAAAAGAATTGTGGAAATTTTAATGGCTGTTAGTTACTAATAGAAGTGCTTTATAATCATTGTTAATTCTTTTTTCTCCCTAGATTCTCTGCCTTGTAAATGTTAGTCACAATGGTGTGAGTGAATCAGAATTGATGGAATTCTATCCTGAGCTATCCTGGGCTGTCTTGACCTCCCTTATTCACAGTTTACACAAAATGTGTTTGTTGACTTATGGTTGTGGTTTGCTCAAGTTTCAACATCTACAGGTAAATGTTATCTTAATAAGGTTTTTTCACTTATTGAAATGTCCACATATCATCGCATATGTATTATGCTATATAATACCACATCATTTCAAATATTTCAATTACAAGACAAAATTGAAATCTCAAATTTGGCATTACAAAAATTTTTTCCAGTGATTTTAGGTTAGATACCAAATTTGGCTAATATTATTCCTATGAAGTAAGTACCTTTGTGAAATGGCTATTACTTTAAAAGGTAGTTTTTTCAATTTTATATTTCATTGAATTGCTGGTATATTATATATGTTTTAAGAACTTGGGCTCTGTAAGTCACTCTGCCTCAATACACAGCCCAGCTCTTCACAGCTTAATGTAACCTTGGGCAAGTTCTCTGAGCCTTGGGCAGATGTTTGCAGCTTACCTCAGGGGTTGTAAAGATAATTAATTGAGGTGGTAAATAATTAATTGATCCTGGTAAGGTCCTAGACATGATGTCTAGCACATAGTAAATAATGACTAATATAACTTTTTTTTTTCCATATTCTAGTTTGCATCTGCTGATACCAAACTCCTGATCCTTCCCTCTCCCCACACCCTTCCCTTTGGAAACCACAAATCTGTTTTCTGTGTCTGTGAATCTGTTTCTGTTTCACAGATATGTTCATTTTTGTCATATTTTAGATTCCACATACAGTATTTGTCTTTCTCTTTCTGACTTACTTCACTTAGTATGATAATCACTAGGTCCATCCATGCTGCAAATGGCATTATTTCATTCTTTTTCATGAATGTCCATCTGTCAATGGACATTTAGATTTTTTCCATGTCTTGGCTATTGTAAATAGTGCTATTGTGAACATAGGGGTGTATATATCTTTTTGATTATAGTTTTGTCTAGAAATATGCCTAGGAGTGAGATTGGATCATATGATAATTCTATTTTCAGTTTTTTAAGGAACCTCCGTACTGTTTTCTATAGTAGCTGCACCAACTTACATCCTCACCAACAGTGTAGGAGGGTTCCCTTTTCTCCACACCCTCCCCAGCATTTGTTATTTGTAGACTTTTTAATGACGGCCATCTGACTCGTGTGCGGTGGTACCTCATTGTAGTTTGATTTGCATTTCTCTCATAATTAACGATGATGAGATAATTTCACGTGCCTATTGGCTATCTGTATGTCTTCTTTGGAGAAATGTCTATTTAGGTCTTCCACCCATTTTTTGATTCTGTTGCTTTTTTGTTATTGAGTTGTATGAGCTGTTTGTATATTTTGGAAATTAAGCCCTTGTTGGTCGCATCATTGGCAAATATTTTCTCCCAGTCTATAGGTTGTCTTTTTGGTTTTTTTATGGTTTTCTTTGCTGTACAGAAGCTTGTAAGTTTGATTAGGTCCTGTTTGTGTATTTTTGCTTTTATTTCTATTGCCTTGGGAGACTGACTTAAGAAAACATTGGTACGATTTATGTCAGAGAATGTCTTGCCTATGTTCTCTTCCAGGAGTTTTATGGTACCATGTCTTTTATATTTAAATCTTTAAGCCATTTTGAGTTTATTTTTGTGTATGGTGTGAGGGTGTGTTCTAACTTCACTGACTTACATGTGGCTGTCCAACTTTTACAACACAACTTGCTGAAGAGACTGTCTTTTCCCCATTGTATGTTCTTGCCTCCTTTGTTGAAGATTAATTGACAGTGGGTGTCTGGGTTTATTTCTGGGCTCTCTATTCTGTTCCAATGATCCGTATGTCTGTTTTTGTGCCAATACCATGTTTTTGATTGCTATAGCTTTGTAGTATTGTCTGATGTCTGGGAGGGTTTGTTCTTTTTCCTAAGAATTGCTTTGGCAATTCTGGGTCTTTTATGGTTCCATATACATTTTAGGATTACTTGTTCTAGTTCTTTGAAAAATGTCATGGGTAATTTGATTAGGATCACATTAAATCTGTAGATTGCTTTTGGTAGTATGGCCATTTTAACAATATTAATTCTTCCAATCCAAGAGCATGGGATATCTTTCCATTTCTTTGAATCATCTTCAGTTTCCTTTATTAATGTTTTGTAGTTCTCAGTATAAAAGTCTTTCACCTCCTGGGTCAGGGTTATTCCTCCATATTTTTTTTTTTTGGATGTGATTTTAAAAGGGATTGTTTTGTTTTTTTTACATTCCCTTTCTGGTGTTTCATTATTAGTATAAAGAAATGCAATGGATTTCTGTATGTTAATCTTGTATCCTGCTACCTTACTGAATTTGTTCATCAGTTCTAATAGTTTTTGCGTGGAGTCTTTAAGGTTTTCTATATATAGTATCATGTCATCTGCATATAATGACAATTTTAACTCTTCCCTACCAATTTGAATACTTTTACTTTTTTTCCTGTCTGACTTCTGTGGCTAGGACTTCCAATACTATGTTGAAGAGAAGTGGTGAGAGTGGTCACCCTTGTCTTCTTCCAGATTTTAGCGGGAAAGTGTTTATCTTTTCACCATTGAATATTATATTGGCTGTTGGTTTGTCATAAATAACTTTTATTATGTTGAAATATGTTCCCTCTATACCCACTTTGGAAAGAGTTTTTATCGTGATTGGATATTGAATTTTCTCAAATGCTTTTTCTGCATCTATTAAGATGATCATGTGATGTTTGTCTTTTCTTTTGTTGATGTGGTGTATCATATTGATTGATTTGCGTATGTTGAACCATCCTTGTGACCCTGGGATGAATCCAACTTGATTGTGGTATATGGTCTTTTTTATGTGTTGTTGGATTCAGTTTGTTAACATTTTTGTTGAGAATTTTTGCATCTATATTCATCAAAGATATTGACCTGTAATTTTCTTTTTTAGTAGTGTCTTTGTCTGGTTTTCGTATCAGGGTGATGGTGGCTTCACAGAGTGTTTTTGGGAGTGTTCCTTCCTCTTCAGTCTTTTAGAAGAGTTTGAGAAGGATTGGTATAAGTTCTTCCTTGTACATTCAGTAGAATTCCCCTGTGAAGCCATCTGACCCAGGACTTTTGTTTGTAGGGAGTTTTTAAATTACGGATTCTATTTCACTTCTAGTTATCAGTCTGTTCAAGTTACCTATTTCTTCTTGATTCAGTTTTAATGGGTTGTATGTTTCTAGAAAGTTGTCCATTTCTTCTAGGTTGTTGAATTTGTGGTAATTGTTCATAGTATTCTCTTACGGCCTTGCACCAAAAAATATTAAACCCACACAGCCTACTCAGGGATGCTGCCATGTAAAAATAGCCCTCCAAGACCACAGTAGAAAATTGTTTCTCCTAAACTCATAGAGCAAGAGAAATATAAGTAAAATGAATCAGAGGAACCACTCCCAATTAAAAGATCAAGAGAATTCCTCTTAAAGAACAAACAACGAAACAGACCTCTTCAGTCTAATAGACACTGAGTTCAAAAAAGAGGTAATGAAAATACTGAAGGAATTAAGAAGGACTATTGATAGAAATACAGATTACTGTAAAAAGGAACTAGAAACTATAAGGAAGAGCCAAGAAAAATTAGAAAATTCACTTGCTGAAATCAAAACTGAGCTTAAGACAATGAATAGCAGAATGAATAATGCAGAAGAATGAATAAGTGATCTGGAAGATAGAATAATGGAAATCACCCTATCAGAACAGCAGACAGAAAGACAAATGAAAAAAAAAATGAAAGCAATATAAGAGACCTATGGGATAATACAAAGCATGCCAATCTATGCATAATAGGGATCCCAGAAGTAGAAGAAAGAGAAAAGGGGATTGAAAATGTATTTGAAGAAATTATGGCTGAAAGCTTCCCAAACCTAAAGAAGGAAACAGATATCCAGGTTCAGGAAGCACAGAGGGTCCCAAACAAGATAAACCCAAACAGACCTACACCAAGACATATTATAATAAAAATGGCAAAAGTTAAACATAAAGAGAGGATTCTAAAGGCAGCAAGAGAAAAACAAAGAGTTGATTACAAGGCAACCCGCATAAGGCTATCAGCTGATTTCTCTACAGGAGTGTTGCAAGCCAGAAGGGAGTGACAAGATATATTCAAAGTTCTGAAAGGGAAAAACCTGCAACCTAGGAAATTCCACCCACCAAGATTATCATTTAGAATAGAAGGAGAGATAAAAATTTTTCAGCCAAGCAAAAACTAAACCTATACTAAAGGAAATATTGAAAGATCTTATCTAAATAGAAAAGAAGTAAGAATCTAGGGAAGAGAAAACCACAATTGGAAAGTAAATCACTTAAATAAGCCAGTACACAGATTAAAAAAAACAATTTTACAGAATCACACATGAACCACAGCAAACAGCAAAAGGACAAACGTGAAGATGTAAAAAAGGACATCAAAATCATAAAACATGGGAGAAGAGCATAAGAAAATGTAGATTTTTTTTTCTAGAATGTGTTTGAGCCTATGTAACTACCAGTGTAAGGCAAGTAGATATAGGAAGGGGTTAACATACTTGAAAAACAGGGTAACCATAAATCAAAAACATACAGTAGACTCACAAAAACCAAAAAGAAGAGAACTTAAGCATAATACAAAAGAAAATCATCAAACCATGAAAGGAAAAAGAAAAAGAAAGGGACAAAGAAGAAATATAAAATCAATGGGAAAACAAGGTTTAAAATGGCAATAAATACATATCTATCAATAATTACTTCAGCTGTCAATGGACTAGATGCTCCAGTCAAAAGACACAGTGGCAGTTTGGAGAAAAAAACAAGAGCTGACAATATGCTGCCTACAAGAGACCCATTTTAGGGCAAAGGACACACATAGATTGAAAATGAGGGGATGGAAAAAGATATTTCATGCAAATGGAAATGACAAGAAAGTGGGGTTGCAATACTCATATCAGACAAAATAGACTTTAAAACAAAGGCTATAAAGAAAGATAAAGAAGGACACTATATAATGATATAAGGATCAATACAAGGAGAGGATATTACACTCATCAACATATATGCACCCAATATAGGAGCACCCAGATACATAAAATAAATACTAACAGACATAACAGGAGAAATTGATGGGAATACAATAATGGTTGGAGATTTTAATACCCTACTCACATCAATGGACAGATCTTTGAGACAGAAAATCAATAAGGCAACAGAGATCCTAAATGATTCAATAGAACAGTTAGACTTAATTGATATTTTCAAGACATTACATCCCAAATAAAGCAGAATACACATTCTTTTCAAGTGCACATGGAACATTCTCTAGGATTGACCACATACTAGGGCACAAAACAAGTCTCAACAAATTTAAAAGTATAGAAATTATTTCAAGCATCTTTTCTGACCACAAATGTCATGAAACTAGAAATCAACCACAGAAAAATAAATGAGAAAAAAAACAATTACATGGAGACTAAGCAACATACTACTGAAAAACCAGTGGGTCAATGATGAAATCAAAGAAGAAATTTAAAAATGCCTTGAGGCAAATGACAATGAAAACACAACCATACAAAATCTATGGGATGCAGCAAAAGCAGTTCTGAGAGGGAAGTTCATAGAGATAAGAAAAATCTCAAATAAACAACCTAACCCACCACATAAAAGAATTAGAAATAGAACAAACAAAACTTAAAGTCAGCAGAAGGAAGGAGATAATAAAGATCAGAGAGGAAATAAATAACATCAAGATTTAAAAAACAATAGAAAAAAATCAGTAATACCAAGAACTGGTTCTTTGAAAGGGTAAACAAAATTGACAAACCTCGGGACTTCCCTGGTGGCATAGTGGTTAAGAATCCACCTGCCAATGCAGGGGACACAGGTTCAAGCCCTGGTCTGGGGAGATCCCACGTGCCGAAGAGCAACTAAGCCCCTGTGCCACAGTGACTGAGGCTTCACTCTAGAGCCCATGAGCCACAACTACTGAGCCCACGTGCCACAACTACTGAAGCCTGTGCACCTAGAAGCCGTGCTGTGCAACAAGAGAAGCCACCGCAGTGAGAAGCCTACACACTGCCACAAAGAGTAGCCCCCACTCACCACAACTAGAGAAAGCCCGCGTGCAGCAACTAACACCCAATGCAGCCAAAAATAAAATTAAAAAAAAAAATTTAAAACATTGGCAAACCTCTGGCCAGAGTCACCAAGAAGAAAAGAGAGAAGACCCAAATGAAACAAGAAATAGGAGAAATCACAACAGATACCACAGAAATACCAATATAATTCTTATCATCTGCAATGCCATGGTTGATTTATACATATAAACAAATGTAAATGAAGTCTTTCACTTGAGTATGCTGTGTTATATATGCAGGTGTGGAATGTTTGTAATTTCACAGGCTTATCTTTCTCCTTTATCGTATATCACTTAAATATAATTTGCTCTTTTTAGTACTTTTGCAAAACACATTTCAGATTTTTAATGTATTCACCAGAAGTTTGAATTGAATTATATTTTGAGTTCTTACAGGAATTCTCATGTCAGTTTATCACATAAATATATACCAAATTTTAAAGTATTCTAATGCTCTTTCTATTATACAACTATAACATTGAAATAATTATAAATTTCTTTTTACAAATTCATTGTTAGATTGTACAGTGACTTACAGAAAACAGACTGTAATGTTTTTTCTTCTTCTCCATAGGCTTGGGAAACAGTGAGACTAGAGTACATGGAAGGTCCCACCATTATTTCTTCATATAGGCAAAAGCTAACCAACTATTTCACCATGCAGCTAAGGTATTGTAAATGTCCATGTTGTTTTTCTGTAGCTTCTGCAACACGCTCTACCTCTGTGTCCTTATTTCTCTTTCTTGTGTAACTTAATGTATAAAAATTTCCTTATTATTTTAAAAGGTTAAGTCCTCTCCTATTCTGTTAATGCCAAAAGAACAAAAGATGATTATGTAAGTCAGTCTTTTAATATTATGCTGAAGATTTAAACTTAAGTGGTATCAATGCAGGATCATTTTATTATTTTTATTTTATTCTAGTTAAATAGTTTAAGTAGTTTAAAAATATGTGTGTGTCTGTTTATACCTGTGTGTGTATATTTGTGTCTATTTATGTTTTTTTTAATAGTTCAATTTTAGGAAAATAAACTTTAGAGTTTGGTCAGTGGTCCTGAATATCACTTTGTTTTCATAGTTAGATTGGTCAAGTTTCTGATTTTGACCTAGTTTTCTCAGCATCAGATTATACTCAGAGTCAGGGATATATCTCAAATGTCTCTCTCCTACTTCAGCATTTGTCTGTAGCCTTTTAAAGTGATCTAATTGTAGCAATGTATTATTGAATGTTGTCCCTTCTCTTCTAATAGTCAGGACCGAGTGACTTGGAGGAGTGCAGATGAACTGCCTTGGCTATTCCAGCAGCAGGGAAGTAAACAGAAGCTGCACGATTGCCTTCTTAACCTCTTTGTGTCTCAAAACCTCTATAAAAGGTAAGAAACTTATTTGTAGGACACCTTTTCCCAGAAAAACAGATTTTAAACAGTTGTTCAGTGTAACAAAGAAAAATGGCATTCTTCATTTAAAAATTAGTCCAGTTTCAGTGGTAACTGAAGTATAAAACAGTGTGGGAGAAATTTTAATACAGTTTGCAAATTGCCACAACATCTACTTTTTCCAAGAGGTAAACAAGAAAGATAGAGTATTGCAGTTTTCATAAAATCAGACCTGGAATACTCTTGAGATAGCTTTGTATCTTAATCTTTCACTGAAGCAGGTTTAAATCCAGACCACCCAGAGAGGCGGTTCATGATGTCTGCCTCTCAGGGTATTCAGATATTTCAAAGTATAGCCTTCAAAACAGACTCTGGGCTCTACAGAGAATCTGACTAGTGTCAGAATTTAAAGAAAGGATTACCCTTTTTCCTAAATGTCTTTTTTTTTTTAATTTTTTATTTTGTCTTTTTGGCTGTGCCCTATGGCATGTGAGATCTTATTTCCCCGACTAGGGATTGAACCCTTGCCCACTGCGGTGGAAGCACTGAATCTTAACCACTGGACGACCAGGGAAGTCCTTCGTAACTGTCTTATTGTCTCTCCTGGTGTGTTTGAATTTGCCTCTGGCAGAACCACCTTTTTCTGAGACAACCTTCTGATCTCTAAGCCCTACGAGGGATTTTTTCTGTCTCACCTGGAAATTTACTCACTTTTCATAATTTATTTATTTTATTTTATTTACATCTTTATTGGAGTATAATTGGTTTAAAATGGTGTGTCAGTTTCTGCTTTATAACAAAGTGAATCAGTTATACATATACATATGTTCCCATATCTCTTCCCTCTTGCGTCTCCCTCCCTCCCCTCTAGGTGGTCACCCCTCTAGGTGGTCACAAAGCACCGAGCTGATCTCCCTGTGCTATGCGGCTGCTTCCCACTAGCTATCTATTTTACGTTTGGTAGTGTATATATGTCCATGCCACTCTCTCACTTCGTCACAGCTTACCCTTCCCCCTCCCCATATCCTCAAGTCCATTCTCTAGTAGGTCTGTCTCTTTATTCCTGTCTTACCCCTAGCTTCTTCATGACATTTTTTTTTCTTAAATTCCATATATATGTATTAGCATACGGTATTTGTCTTTCTCCTTCTGACTTACTTCACTCTGTATGACAGACTCTAGGTCCATCCACCTCATTATAAATAGCTCAATTTCGTTTCTTTATATGGCTGAGTAATATTCCATTGTATATATGTGCCACTTCTTCTTTATCCATTCATCCGATGATGGACACTTAGGTTGTTTCCATCTCCGGGCTATTGTAAATAGAGATGCAATGAACATTTTGGTACATGACTCTTTTTGAATTACGGTTTTCTCAGGGTATATGCCCAGTAATGGAATTGCTGGGTCATATGGTAGTTCTATTTGTAGTTTTTTAAGGAACCTCCATACTGTTCTCCATAGTGGCTATACCAATTCACATTCCCACCAGCAGTGCAAGAGTGTTCCCTTTTCTCCAAACCTTCTCCAGCACTTATTGTTTCTAGATTTTTTGATGATAGCCATTCTGACCAGTATGAGATGATATCTCATTGTACTTTTGATTTGCATTTCTCTCATGATTAATGATGTTGAGCATTCTTTCATGTGTTTGTTGGCAGTCTGTATATCTTCTCTGGAGAAATGTCTATTTAGGTCTTCTACCCATTTTCGGATTGGTTTGTTTGCTTTTTTGTTATTGAGCTGCAAGAGCTGCTTGTAAATTTTGGAGGTTAATCCTTTGTCAGTTGCTTCATTTGCAAATATTTTCTCCCATTCTGAGGGTTGTCTTTTGCTCTTGTTTATGGTTTCCTTTGCTTTGCAAAAGCTTTTAAGTTTCATTAGGTCCCATTTGTTAATTTTTGTTTTTATTTCCATTTCTCTAGGAGGTGGGTCAAAAAGGATCTTGCTGTGATTTATGTCACAGAGTGTTCTGCCTATGTTTTCCTCTAAGAGTTTGATAGTTTCTGGCCTTACATTTAGGTCTTTAATCCATTTTGAGCTTATTTTTGTGTATGGTGTTAGGGAGTGATCTAATCTTATACTTTTACATGTACCTCTCCAGTTTTCCCAGTACCACTTATTGAAGAGACTGTCCTTTCTTCACTGTACATTCCTGCCTCCTTTATCAAAGATAAGGTGACCATATGTGCGTGGGTTTATCTCTGGGCTTTCTATCCTGTTCCATTGATCTGTCTTTCCGTTTTTATGCCAGTACCATACTGTCTTGATTACTGTAGCTTTGTAGTATACTCTGAAGTCAGGGAGCCTGATTCCTCCAGCTCCGTTTTTCGTTCTCAAGATTGCTTTGGCTATTCGGGGTCTTTTGTGTTTCCATACAAATTGTGAAATTTTTTGTTCTAGTTCTGTGAAAAATGCCAGTGGTAGTTTGATAGGGATTGCATGAATCTGTAGATTGCTTTCGGTAGTAGAGTCATTTTCACGATGTTGATTCTTCCAATCCAAGAACATGGTATATCTCTCCATCTATTTGTATCATCTTTAATTTCTTTCATCAGTGTCTTATAATTTTCTGCATACAGGTCTTTTGTCTCCTTAGGTAGGTTTATTCCTAGATATTTTATTCTTTTTGTTGCAATGGTAAATGGGAGTGTTTTCTTGATTTCACTTTCAGATTTTTCATCATTAGTGTATAGGAATGCAAGAGATTTCTGTGCATTAATTTTGTATTCTGCTACTTTACCAAATTCATTGATTAGCTCTAGTAGTTTTCTGGTAGCATCTTTAGGATTCTCTATGTATAGTGTCATGTCATCTGAAAACAGTGACGGCTTTGCTGCTTCTTTTCCGATTTGGATTCCTTTTATTTCCTTTTCTTCTCTGATTGCTGTGGCTAAAACTTTAAAAACTATGTTGAATAAGAGTGGTGAGAGTGGGCAACCTTGTCTTGTTCCTGATCTTAGTGGAAATGCTTTCAGTTTATCACCATTGAAGACGATGTTGGCTGTGGGCTTGTCATATATGGCCTTTATTATGTTGAGGAAAGTTCCCTCTATGCCTACTTTCTGCAGGGTTTTTATCATAAATCTATGTTGAATTTTGTCGAAAGCTTTCTCTGCATCTATTGAGATGATCATATGGTTTTTCTCCTTCAATTTGTTAATGTGGTGTATCACATTGATTGATTTGCATATATTGAAAAATCCTTGCATTCCTGCAGTTAACCCCACTTGATCATGGTGTATGATCCTTTTAATGTGCTGTTGGATTCTGTTTGCTAGTATTTTGTTGAGGGTTTTTGCATCTATGTTCATCAGTGATATTAGCCTGTAGTTTTCTTTCTTTGTGACATCCTTGCCTGGTTTTGGTATCAAGGTGATGGTGGCCTCGTAGAATGAGTTTGGGAGTGTTCCTCCCTCTGCTATATTTTGGAAGAGTTTGAGAAGAATAGGTGTTAGCTCTTCTCTAAATGTTTGATAGAATTCGCCTGTGAAGCCATCTGGTCCTGGGCTTTTGTTTGTTGGAAGATTTTTAATCACAGTTTCAATTTCAGTGCTTGTGATTGGTCTGTTCATATTTTCTATTTCTTCCTGGTTCAGTCTCGGAAGATTGTGCATTTCTACGAATTTGTCCATTTCTTCCAGGTTGTCCACTTTATTGGCATAGAGTTGCTTGTAGTAATCTCTCATGATCTTTTTTATTTCTGCAGTGTCAATTGTTACTTCTCCTTTTTCATTTCTAATTCTATTGATTTGAGTCTTCTCCCTTTTTTTGTTGATGAGTCTGGCTAATGGTTTATCAATTTTGTTTATCTTCTCAAAGAACCAGCTTTGAGTTTTATTGATCTTTGCTATCATTTCCTTCATTTCTTCACTTATTTCTGTTCTGATTTTTATGAATTCTTTCCTTCTGCTAACTTTGGGGTATTTTTGTTCTTCTTTCTCTGATTGCTTTAGGTGCAAGGTTAGGTTGTTTATTCGAGATGTTCCCTGTTTCTTAAGGTAGGATTGTATTGCTATAAACTTCCCTCTTAGAACTCGTTTTGCTGCATCCCATAGATTTTGGGTCGTCGTGTCTCCATTGTCATTTGTTTCTAGGTATTTTTTATTTCCTCTTTATTTCTTCAGTGATCACTTCGTTATTAAGTAGTGTATTGCTTTGCCTCTATGTGTTTGTATTTTTTACAGATCTTTTCCTGTAATTGATATCTAGTCTCATAGTGTTGTGGTCGGAAAAGATACTTGATACAATTTCAATTTTCTTAAATTTACCAAGGCTTGATTTGTGACCCAAGATATGATCTGTCCTGGAGAATGTTCCATGAGTACTTGAGAAAATTGTGCATTCTGTTGTTTTGGGATGGAATGTCCTATAAATATCAATTAAGTCCATCTTGTTTAATGTATCATTTAAAGCTTGTGTTTCCTTATTTATTTTCATTTTGGATGATCTGTCCATTGGTGAAGGTGGGGTGTTAAAGTCCCCTACTATGAATGTGTTACTGTCGATTTCCCCTTTTATGGCTGTTAGTATTTGCCTTATGTATTGAGTTGCTCCTATGTTGGGTGCATACATATTTACAATTGTTATATCTTCTTCTTGGATTGATCCCTTGATCATTATGTAGTGTCTTCTTTGTCTCTTCTAATAGTCTTTATTTTAAAGTCTATTTTGTCTGATAGGAGGACTGCTACTCCAGCTTTCTTTTGGTTTGCATTTGCATGGAATATCTTTTTCCAACCCCTTACTTTCAGTCTGTATGTGTCTCTAGGTCTGAAGTAGGTCTCTTGTAGGCCACATATATATGGGTCTTGTTTTTGTATCCATTCAGCCAATCTGTGTCTTTTGGTGGGAGCATTTAGTCCATTTACATTTAAGGTAATTATCGATATATATGTTCCTATTCCCATTTAATTAATTGTTTTGCGTTCATTATTGTAGGTCTTTTCCTTCTCTTGTGTTTCTTGCCTAGAGAAGTTCCTGTAGCATTTGCTGTAAAGCTGGTTTGGTGGTGCTGAACTCTCTCAGCTTTTGCTTCTCTGTAAAGGTTTTAATTTCTCCATCAAATCTGAATGAGATCCTTGCTGGGTAGAGTAATCTTGGTTGCAGGTTTTTCCCCTTCATCACTTTAAATATGTCCTGCCAGTCCCTTCTGGCTTGCAGAGTTTCTGCTGAAACATCAGCTGTTAACCTTATGGGGATTCCCTTTTGTGTTATTTCTTGTTTTTCCCTTGCTGCTTTTAATATGTTTTCTTTGTATTTAATTTTTGACAGTTTCATTAGTATGTGTCTTGGCATATTTCTCCTTGGATTTATCCTGTATGGGACTCTCTGTGCTTCCTGGACTTGATTAACTATTTCCTTTCCCATATTAGGGAAGTTTTCAACTATAATCTCTTCAAATATTTTCTCAGTCCCTTTCTTTTTCTCTTCTTCTTATGGAACCCCTATAATTCGAATGTTGATGCGTTTAGTATTGTCCCAGAAGTCTCTGAGACTGTCCTCAGTTCTTTTCATTCTTTTTTCTTTATTCTGCTCTGCAGTAGTTATTTCCACTATTTTATCTTCCAGGTCACTTATCCGTTCTTCTGCTTCAGTTATTCTGCTGTTGATCCATCTAGAGCATTTTAAATTTCATTTATTGTGTTCATCATTGCTTGTTTCATCTTTAGTTCTCTTAGGTACTGGTTAAATGTTTCTTGCATTTTGTCTATTCTATTTCCAAGATTTTGGATCATCTTTACTATCATTATGCTGAATTCTTTTTCAGGTAGACTGCCTATTTCCTCTTCATTTGTTAGGTTTGGTGTGTTTTTACTTTGCTCCTTCATCTGTTGTGTGTTTTTCTGTCTTCTCATTTTGCTTATCTTACTGTGTTTGGGGTCTTACTGTGTTGGGTCTTACTGTGTTGGGAACCTGCAGGCTGCAGGTTCGTAGTTCCCATTGTTTTTGGTGTCTGTCCCCAGTGGCTAAGGTTGGTTCAGTGGGTTGTGTAGGCTTCCTGGTGGAGGGGACTAGTGCCTTTGTTCTTGTGGATGAGGCTGGATCTTGTCTTTCTGGTGGGCAGGTCCACGTCTGGTGGTGTGTTTTGGGGTGTCTGTGGACTTACTATGATTTTAGGCAGCGTCTCTGCTAATGGGTGGGGTTGTGTTCCTGTTTTGCTAGTTGTTTGGCATAGGTTTTCCAGCACTGTAGCTTGCTGGTCGTTGAGTGAAGCTGGGTGCTGGTGTTGAGATGGAGATATCTGGGAGATTTTCACCGTTTGATATTATGTGTAGCTGGGAGGTCTCTTGTGGACCAGTGTCCTGAAGTTGGCTTTCCCACCTCAGAGGCACAGCACTGACTCCTGGCTGCAGCACCAAGAGCCTTTCATCCACACCACTCAGAATGAAAGGGAGAAAAAGAAGAGCAAAAGAAAGAAAGAGAGAGAGAGAGAGAGAGGGAGGGAGGCAAGGAGGGAGAGAGAGAGAGTGAGAGAGAGAGAGAAAGAAAGAAGCGAGGGATGGAGGGAGGGAAGGAAAGAAAGAAAGAAAGAAAAGAAAATAAAGATAAAATAACAAAGTTATTAAAATAAAAAATAATTATTAAGAAAAAAAATTTTTTTAATAAAGAAAAAAACAAAAAAAACGGACGGATAGAACCCTAGGACAAATGGTGGAAGCAAAGCTATACAGACAAAATCTCACACAGAAACATACACATACACACTCACAAAAAGAGGAAAAGGGGAAATAATAATATATCTTGCTCTCAAAGTCCACCTCCTTAATTTGGGAAGATTCGTTGTCTATTCATGTATTCCACAGATGCAGGGTACATCAAGTTGATTGTGGAGCTTTAATCTGCTGCTTCTGAGGCTGCTGGGAGAGATTTCCCTTTCTCTTCTTTGTTCTCACAGCTCCAGGGGCTCAATTTTGGATTTGGCCCCGTCTCTGCGTGTAAGTCGCCGGAGGGCGTCTGTTCTTCGCTCAGACAGGACGGGGTTAAAGGAGCAGCTGCTTCTCGGACTGTGGCTCACTCAGGCCGTGGAGAGGGAGGGGTACGGAGTGCGGGGCTAGCCTGCGGCGGCAGAGGCCATCGTGATGTTGCACCAGTCTGAGGCGTGCCGTGTGTTTTCCCGGGGAAATTGTCCCTGGATCCCGGGACCCTGGCAGTGGCGGGCTGCACAGGCTCCCCGGAAGGGGGTTATGGATAGTGACCTGTGCTCGCATACAGGCTTCCTGGTGTCGGCAGCAGCAGCCTTAGCGTCTCATGCCCGTCTCTGGGGTCCGCGATGTTAGCCGCGGCTCACACCCGTCTCTGAAGCTCCTTTAAGCAGAGCTCTTAATCCCCTCTCCTCCGCACCAGGAACATAGAGGGAAGAAAAAGTCTCTTGCCTCTTCGGCAGGTCCAGACTTTTCCCGGACTCCCTCCCCGTGGTGCACTAACCCCCTGCAGGCAGTGTTCACGCCGCCAACCACAGTCCTCTCCCTGCGCTCCGACCGAAGCCCGAGCCTCAGCTCCCAGCCCTGCCCGCCCCGGCTGGTGAGCAGACAAGCCTCTCGGTCTGGTGAGCGCCGGTCGGCACCGATCCTCTGTGCGGGAATCTCTCCGCTTTGCCCCCCGCACCCCTGTTGCTGTGCTCTCCTCCTTGGCTCCGAAGCTTTCCCCCTCCGCCACCCGCAGTGTCCGCCCGCGATGGGGCTTCCTAGTGTGTGGAACCTTTCCTCCTTCACAGCTCCCTCCCACTGTGCAGGTCCCGTCCCTATCATTTTGTCTTTGTTTATTCTTTTTTCTTTTGCCCTTTCCAGGTACATGGGGACTTTCTTGCCTTTTGGGACGTCTGAGGACTTCTGCCAGCGTTCAGTAGGTGTTCTGTAGGAGTTGTTCCTCGTGTAGATGTATTTCTTGTGTATCTGTGGGGAGGAAGGTGATCTCCGCGTCTTACTCTTCCGCCATCTTCTCCTCATACCCACTTCTCATAATTTAGATGCATAATTTGTTTTACTTCTTAGTGAACTCTCTCAAATTTCTTTGTTTCACCTTATAGATTATTTCTGATCTCATCCCAGTTTTTCATGATTTCATTTGAAATCAGATTCATCCTTTAGTTTACCATCTCTCCCATCCTTCTTAATACCATCAATAGATGAATAAGCTTACTTTTATCATTCAATTCCTTGATGAAAATACAAAGCAGATATTCTGACAGTTTGCCTGTGTTTCATTAGTCTTCTCTTCTGATTTCTATCATTTAAAATAATTTTGGGGTGAACTCAGCAGTTGACTGCATATCATGAAATGTCTAAACAGGGTTATGATAGGTTTCCATTGGTGAGTAACCATAATGATATTAATGGTAACAGCCAACACTATGGAGTACTTGCTACAGGCCATAATCTCCTTACAGTAACACCTGAGGCAGGTGGTGTCGGTGTGCCTCTTCTGCAGATGAGGATGATGAGGTGTAAGAGAGCACACAGCTAGGCTGCTGTGGACTCAGATGGCAGTTCCAGTCTACACCCTTACTTCACTACACTGGACTAGCCTACTAATAAACTATCGATAGCTTGATATGAATTATGACATCTTCACTCAATAGTGGGGTTTAAAGTTTCTTTTTTCATTAAATTACTGTTATTTGTTGCAACAGAGGACACTTTGCTGAGTTGCTGAGTTACTGGCAGTTTGTTGGTAAAGACAAAAGCGCGATGGCAGCAGAATACTTTGATTCATTGAAGCAGTATGAGAAAAACTGTGAAGGCGAGGAGAGCATGATTTGCTTAGCTGACCTTTATGAAACCCTGGGGCGATTTCTCAAGGATCTAGGCCTTCTCAGTCAGGTAACTTCAACAGGGAGTTAGAGACTGTGTGGGTTTTCATGTTTACTCTTCTCTCCTTCCTAGGAGTTAATGCAGCTTTTATTTGTTGTGCTAATCAGATCTTACAGCATTTCACTCACTTTAATTGGCCTTTAACCTTTTTCTTCCCCCAGGCTGTGGTGCCTTTGCAGAGGTCTCTAGAAATTCGAGAAACAGCTTTAGATCCAGATCACCCACAAGTAGCTCAGTCCCTCCACCAACTAGCAAGTGTGTACGTGCAGTGGAAGAAGTTTGGCAATGCTGAACAACTATATAAACAGGCATTGGAAATCTCAGAAAATGCCTATGGTGCGGACCATCCACATATTGCTCGCGAACTTGAAGCACTTGCAACTTTGTACCAGAAACAAAATAAGTAAGATTTCAATTGGTAATTCTCTGGTTTTATGACAGGGAGTTACAGTTCTTAATGTACTTATGTGGGAGGCTTTGTTTTGTGGCTGTGTATTTTTCCATATCCCATATTTTCCTTATCCTATATTCTTTCGAATCCACCATGTTCAAATATTATTCTTGGTCTGGGGGGTGAACAGAATATTAGAACTACAAGATTCATCTCTATTTCAAGATGTGCAAAGGATAGAGCATGGACTTTGGAGTCATATAGTTAGGTTTGAAACCGGGCTTCTTCGCTAACTCTGTAATATTGAGTGTACTACTAATACAGGGGGCAGCAAACTGTTGCCCACATGCCAAGTCCAGAAGGTCCCCTGTTTGGGACGTAGAGTTGTAGTGTAACACAGCCACATTTTTTTCATTTACATGTTGTCTGTGGTCGCTTCCATGCTTCAACAGCAGTTTTGTATTTGCAACAGAGACCACGGGACCCACAAAGCCTGAAATGTTTACTATCTAGCCTTTTACAGAAGAAGTTTGCTGATCCCTAGTATAATAATCCCTCCAAATGATATCTCTTCCTCTATGTGAAATCATTTGTTTTGCTCAGTCAGAAATGATACATATTGGAATTTTTCTTTTAACTTCTAGAAGTATTGTTTCACACAGATTTTGTGTGATTTTCACATTTCTATTTGACAAAAAAATAACCTGTGTGGAAGCTGATATAGCAAACTAAAGTTTTGGATTTTCATTTAGTTAGATCACCCTTTAGAGATTCAAAATGAGTTTAATCAGTTAAAAACAGTTAAATGTCAGCTACTTGGAGGACTAGATTTATTTTGTTAGATTTTGTTTTATGAAAGTTTTTGTTAAAGATTTTTAATTCCATATGACTATCACTTCTAGAAATAATCCTGTATTTAATTAGCCAAAAAAACTTTACACTGGTGGTTTCATTTCACTGAAGTATGACACTTTGGACATATGTTTCTTTCGTTTGACTTTTTTTTTTTTTTTAAGATATGAACAAGCTGAACATTTTAGAAAAAAATCTTTTAAAATTCGTCAGAAAGCTACAAGGAGAAAAGGCAACTTGGTAATGCAGATTTCTTTTGTGTTGTGTTTTGAACAAAAAGGAATTAGAACATCTCTGAATATCATAATGTAGATGCATAAACCTCACATATTTAAGAACTTTAGATTTTAAAGTGACTTCTACGGAAGTACTGATTAACATTTTCTTATTTATAATACATGTTTAAATATTAGTATCACTGAGAAGTACAAATTAGTAGACTTTTAAAAAGTGGAACTATGTATTGTGGTAATCATTTTACACTACATACGTATCATCATGTTTTACACTTTAAACTTACACAATGTTATATGTCAATTATATCAATAAATCTGGGGATTTTTTTTAATTTTTAAAAAGTAGAACTATTCAGTTAATTTAAAGTTAATTAAGATTTTAGAAGATGGACTTAAAAGCTGTATCAATTCTTTAAAGGGTTGGAAAACAGAATAAAAAAAATTTACTAAACACTTTATGTTAGATTCAAATGCCAAGAAATTATTACCCTTGAGTGCAAAAAATTTTTCATTTATCTAAGCTGCTAGTAAGATCTAAATATAGCATATTTGTTTGTTTTAACTTAAAATGCTATGTGCAATTTTTTAAATTGAAATATATTTGACATCTAACATTGTGTAAATTTAAGATGTACAACATGCTTATCTGATGCATTTATATATTGTAATATGATTATTACCATAGCGTTAGCTAACACCTCTATCACATCACATAATTATCATTTCTTTTTTGTGGTGGGAATAATTAAGATCTAGTCTCTTAGCAAGTTTGATGATTTTAATACAGTATTTTTGCTTGTATTCGCTATGCTGTACATTTGAGCTCCAGGACTTATTTGTCTTCTAGTTGCAAGTGCTATTTGCAATTTTAAGTACCCAATATTTAAATGTTTAGTAATAGGATTAATAAATATATGCATGTTAATTGTTTCCTAATCTTTTTGAAGCACTTTGGGATTCAGTTCATTTTGCTAAAATAATCTCATAATTATTTTCACAAAATAGTTTTTTAATGAATTTAAGAGTGTGATGCTACATGGAAGTATATATATTTTCATAAATTATTAGATTAATTCAGTATGATACTTAAAGTAATTGTAATCTACTTTAAAGGGAAAAAAAAGGAGAAAGGATTTTTTCAGAACCCTAGTATATTGCTTCAGAATCAAAGATTGCACTTACTTGGTGATTGTTGTGAATTTCTTGTGTTTGCTGCAGTATGGATTTGCCCTTTTACGTAGACGGGCCCTACAGTTAGAAGAGCTCACGTTAGGTAAGGATACACCTGACAATGCTCGGACCCTCAATGAACTGGGTGTGCTCTACTATCTTCAGAACAACCTGGAGTGAGTACCTTGGTGTTAATAATGAAAACAGGTATCCATTTTGTCTCTTAGATACAAAGCTGTTTTACATTAATATCAAGCTAAGCTGGAAAAAATTGATAGAAACCATGCCGAATTTCATGTATGGTATGTTATGAACATGGCCACACTTAACAAGGACCATGACATTTTCTTTACTGTTTCCTTTCACATTGTTTCTTTAGTAACTAAAAAGTTATTCTCTAGCTTCCCTAGTATGTTTTATATGTTTATGAAAAGTGAGTTTGTGTAGATATTGTACATAAGATCTCACATAAGAACAAACTTGGGACTAAAGAATGTAGATGGCTGCTAGTTTTATTCTTCAGTTTATTTGAGCATAAAAACTCACAAAGGCATTAATATGTATGACAGAGGTGTTTTTGGACTTCTTTGTATGTCAGAAAAATATAACAAATTTGACACTTTGGATACCAGAAAAACACAACAATATTTAGCCCACTTCACAAAGGGTTCTTTAATTAAAAATTATTTAGTACTACAAAGGGAGAAAGAAAGAATACCAAAATGTTTTGAGTTTGGCCTAGTAATTTTTAAAGATAAAAAAATTTGTTTTGGAAACTATTTATGGGTTTGTCTTTTAGAAATGAAGTGGAGAATTGAGACAATCGTCCAGATACTTTAGGCTTTCACACTATCAGGAAAGCATTTTTAGTTTTTGGAAAAGGGCAGGAAGAGATGAGGGGGTGGGAGAGAGGGGGAGAGGATTTTGAGCTGAATCCTTCATTTTAACTATCTTGGATTTAAGAATAAAAGTGCTTCAGTTCTCCACCTAACTATGGCTAGGGATTCTCACTTCTAGAGAATAAATTGTTTAAACCATTTGTGGCTTTTGTTCATAGAACAGCTGACCAGTTTCTGAAGCGTTCCTTGGAGATGAGGGAGCGAGTTCTAGGACCAGATCACCCTGACTGTGCCCAGTCTTTGAATAATCTGGCGGCTCTATGCAATGAAAAGAAACAGTATGATAAAGCAGAAGAACTTTATGAAAGAGCCTTAGACATTCGGAGACGAGCATTAGCTCCTGATCACCCTTCTTTGGCTTATACAGTGAAGCATCTTGCAGTCTTGTATAAGAAAATGGTAAGTAATCCTTGGCATGCCTACATGTGTTTTATAATATACCAATTAAGCCATAATTGCTATTAGCAAAATAATTTATCTTCTGATGGATAGACTATTCCTATGAGCTTTTAAATCATAGTGATTTAATTTTTAAACAAGTAGCTGAGTAGAACATTTAAAATATTACTTCATCAAAGAGACACAAACAGATGGAGAGATAAACCATGTACTTGGATGGGAAGAATCAATATTGTGAAAATGACTATACTATCCAAAGCAATCTACAGATACAATGCAATCCCTATCAAATTACCAATGGCATTTTTCACAGAATTAGAACAAAACATTTTACAATTTGTATGGAGACACAAAGGACCCCGAATAACCAAAGCAATCTTGAGAAAGAAAACCAGAGCTGGAGAAATAAGGCTCCCTGACTTCAGACTATACTACAAAGCTACAGTAATCAGGACAGTATGATACTGGCACAAAAACAGACATATAGATCAATGGAACAGAATAGAAAACCCAGAGATAAACACACACACCTACGGTCACCTAATCTATGACAAAGGAGGCAAGAATATACAATGGAGAAAAGACAGCCTCTTCAATAAGTGGTGCTGGGAAAACTGGACAGCTACATGCAAAAGAATGAAATTAGAACACTCCCTTACACCATACACAAAAAGAAACTCAAAATAGATTAAACACCTAAATGTAAGGCCAGACACTATCAAACTCTTAGAGGAAAACATAGAACATTCTTTGACATAAATCGCAGCAAGATCTTTTATGATCCACCTCCTAGATTAATGAAAATAAAAACAAAAATAAGCAAATGGGACCTGATTAAACTTAAAAGCTTTTGCACAGCAAAGGAAACCTTAAAAAAACAAAAAGACAACCCTCAGAATGGGAGAAAATATTTGCAAACAAAGCAAATGACAAGGGATTAATCTCCAAAATACACAGATAGCTCATGCAGCTCAATAACAAAAAAACAAACAACCCAATCCAAAAATCGACAGAAGACCTAAATAGACATTTCTCCAAAGACATACAGATGGCCAACAAACACATGAAAAGATGCTCAACATCACTAAGTATTAGAGAAATGCATATCAAAACTACAATGAGGCATCACCTCACACAGGTCAGAGTGGCCATCATCAAAAAATCTACAAACAACAAATGCTGGAGAGGGTGTGGAGAAAAGGGAACCCTCTTGCACTGTTGGTGGGAATGTAAATTGATACAGCCACTATGGAGAACAGTATGGAGGTTCCTTAAAAAACTAAAAAGACAACTACCATATGACCCAGCAATCCCACTCCTGGGCATATCTCCAGAGCAAACCATAATTCAAAAGGAGGTATGCACCCCGATGTTCATTGCAGCACTATTTACAATAGCCAGGACACAGAAGTAACCTAAATGCCCATCGACAGAAGAATGGTAAAGAAGATGTGGTACATATATACAATGGAATATTATTCAGCCATAAAAAGGAATGAAATAGTGCCATTTGTAGAGATATGGATGGACCTAGAGATTGTCATACAGAGTGAAGTAAGTTGGAAAGAGAAAAATAAATATCGTATAATACTGCTTTTATGTGGAATCTAGAAAAATGGTACAGATGAACTTACTGGCAAAGCAGAAATAGAGGCACAGATGTAGAGAATAAACTTATGGTTACCAAGCGGGGAAGGGGAGGGTGGGACAAATTGGGAGATTGGGATTGACATATATACACTACTATGTATAAAATAGGTAACTAATGAGAACCTACTGTTTAGCAGCACAAGGAACCCTACTCAGTGATCTGTGGTGACCTAAATGGGAAGGAAGTCTAAAAAAGAGGGGATATATGTATAACTGATTCACTTTGCTGTACAGCAGAAACTAACACAACATTGTAAAGCAATTATACTCCAATAAAAATTAATTTTAAAAAATAAATAAAAATATTATTTCAGACTTAACTGGTTTAGTTTTTAAAAATACATTCTAAATACAAATGCATTTGTCAGCACTCTAATTAGAATTTATTCTTCTGTTACATTTCAGAAGTTCTAAAATTCAACCAGGATTAGGTTTGCTGTGTTAAGCTACCAGAAACATAACGAATCACCCAAATGTTAGGGCTGAAGGAGGAGTCTCTTGTAGCTGGTTAAATGACCATTTTAATTTCATTCTTTCTTTTCTTTGCTTGCAATTAAATGTAACCATTCTTTACCATAGGGTTCTAGCCTGAGTGATATTTGGAGTGTTTATAGCTGTTCTCAAAAAAAAAAAAAAAAAAAGAGAAGCAGAGAAGTCTGCTTTCATTTAGCACAGTTACAGAGTTAGACTGTATTTAGACTTTGTTTGTGGGAAACTTGCTGGTCCTCCTGGTACTGAAGTTGATGTCTTAGTATGAAGGATCCATAGTTGCTATTTCTGCCTAACTTTCAAGTAAAAAGAAAGAATAATCTGGAAAGGATTTGGTGGAAAACAAGTTCTTATTTTGATGCTATCTCTAAATTATGTACAGTAGCAAACATACTTTTTACTTCATCAGAAATAGTAATAATGGATGATCCTAAAGGACTTTCTGAGTTATCAAAGAAAATGTTTTCATATTCAGTGTAGCTGTACTTACATGTTCTATTTGATGTCAGTTGTCTATAAACTTAACCATTAAATTGGGAGGAAATGCTTCTGAACTTTTTTCCTCAAAATTACTTTTTCATAGAAAATTATATTTATGGAACAAGCTCTGATCAGAAAGTATTTATTGCTTTAATATTTTTGTTAGATTTCACTTTTGTTTTTTAGGGGAAACTTGACAAAGCTGTACCTTTGTATGAGCTGGCTGTTGAAATCCGGCAGAAATCCTTTGGCCCAAAGCACCCTAGTGTAGCTACTGCCTTGGTGAACTTAGCTGTTCTTTATAGCCAAATGGTAAGTTCCCACACTGTAATTCTTTATAAGTGAATGGTTTTAACGTATGAAATATAGGTAAACATGTATTAGATCTGGCACAGTAAAAATAATTAAAGGACATTTAGGTTATCTACTAATGTTCCCTTTAATACTTGAGAAATTATTGAAGTTATATTTGTAAGATAGTCCCTTCCTCTTAGTGTAAAACACTGAGTGTTTAGTTCATTGCATAGGCTTATTTTTTTTAAATTCTGGAGACTCCCTACATCTCTATATCTAATATTGTTCTTAAGCTCTGTCATTTGCCTGTGATGAGTGAAAAACAGGTATGGTACCCTGTGGGCAAAAACAGGTTTGTGCTTATATAATTGGATTAATGTCATTGGATACCAAGCCGAGTCTAAAACTGAAGTTTCTGACTTTTTATTATACTGCTTCTCCCATTATTATTCCTAAATTAATCTGTTTATCCACATCTTGTAGGAGGATATTAACTTTTTAAAAGTGCTTATTACCCAAGTAGGTCAGCTTAGTCTAGAATACCTTAATAGTAATTTCAGAAACGCAGTGTGTTCAAGTGACCATTGTTTCTTTTTTAATAAGAAAAAACACATTGAGGCCTTGCCGTTATATGAAAGAGCATTAAAGATTTATGAGGACAGCCTGGGTCGGATGCATCCTCGAGTTGGAGAAACATTAAAAAATTTAGCTGTGCTTAGGTAAGAATTTTTCACTTTCCTCATGCAGCCAAAACCCCTTTTAAAACATCTTTGATTCATCATAGAGCACCACAAAATATTTATTGCTGATATGCTTTTTCTTGTAGTGGGAGGGGTTGTTTGGGGTTGATCTATATACTTCAAGAGATACTGAAGTAATATCCAGAGTGGAATGAAGGTGACATGATCTGTTTTGTAGAGGAGTGTATCACGGCAAATAGAGAAGGACGGTTTACATTTGCAGCTAACTGGCTCTAGGGTAATCTGGGCAATTTGCTATCCTCAAAGCTGATTTACCATTAAGTACATGTTGATTTTTGCATTATGTTTATCTCAGGATGCTAACTTCCCTTAGCAGTTTCACTGCATCCATTACAACATAGTCTTAATGGTGCCCCTATGAGACACTTAACAGCACAAGACAGAAAGGAGAAGAGTTTGGGTATTCTGTTTTATTGGTCTGCCTGAATGAATGCACTGGAAAAAATGAGCAATTATCAACAACTTGTTTTTCTGTATTCTATAATATCATCTAAAATTGTTAAAAGGTTATAATCTCATTTTGAGAATTTTTTTTGTCTCAAAGCTATGAAGAAGGGGATTTCGAAAAAGCTGCTGAACTATACAGAAGGGCAATGGAAATAAAAGAAGCAGAAACGTCTCTTTTGGGTGGAAAAGCTCCTTCCCGACATTCATCAAGTGGAGATACGGTTAGCTTAAAAACAACCCATTCTCCTAATGTTTTCCTTCATCAAGGACAAAGGTAATAGCAGCAACTACAATTCATTGCAAATGCAACTTAGGATAAAATAATTAAGAAACATTTGGAACATTAGAATTTAAAACTTATAAAAATAGTTTTTAAGAAAACTTATTTTTGTGTGATTTAACTGATATTTGTATGAAATTGTATTGGACTACATTGAAGTTTGAGTCATGATTGTTTTGATTTTAGTTCTTTAAAAGAATTAATTTTCCTATTGTGTGGGAACCAAGGATGTAGACACATTAGAATCCTAAGATGACATGAAGAGTTGATCATGGAGAGTAGACTGGTCTCTGTTCTACAAGAGCTGGCAAAGCAGCCAAGACAAGCGGTTCAAGAATTCCGTGATTCTTCTCCTCTCTCAAGTCACTTTAGCCTCATCATTCCTCATCTTGCTTTTCAGCAGCAGTCTGGCCCAGTTCTCTACCTCAAAGAAAAGTTTCAAGGAGTAAAGGGATAATGTTGACGGAAAGTATGAATTGTCTTCTGTAAAACGAACTAGTAATAGGAATCTCTGACTGCTACATTTTTTTTATTCTACCTTTTCAGTCAGCAGATTGGGCCAAGCCCTCTGCTTTCCATGCTCTCTACACTGTATATTGTTTTTACTGTGTAGTATGTACCTGCACAATCTGAAGTCATTAATGCAGTAACAGGTCAAGCTCTTTGGCATTCTTTGACCTTTCCCAAAATATGGACATGACCTTCTTTCTTAAATGGCCTAAATCTATGTCTTCATTTATCTTAGACTCAAAGTAGTTGGCCATTTTATACTGAAAATTAAATATTTTTATAGATTTTATAAATATTGCCAATTTGGGATAATGTTTTGTACCATTTATGTATTTATATATAAATAAAATCTTCAATTTTAATACTTGTAAGATTCCAACATGTATTAATTGTAAAGGTGAAAGATGTAATAACCATATTTCACTGTTTTAGAATAAAAGTGGAATTTCAAGTTCTTTTTCCCACTCCAGTGTATATTGGGTTGGCCAAAAGTTTCGTTCGTTTTTTTCCGTAAGATGGATCTAATAGCACTTAGTTGTCTTTAACTTCATTCGTAACAATGTTGTTAAATTGTATGTGACAGCTATCATATCAGTGTGCATTTTAAAAAAGATTTATCAAAATTGGTGAATTTTTGTATAGCCATTTTAATATTGAAGATGGAAGAAAAAAGCAACATTTTCAGCACATTATGCTTTATTATTTCAAGAAAGGTAAAAACGCAACCAAAACGCAAAAAGGATTTGTGCAGTGTATGGAGAAGGTGCTGTGACTGTTTGAACGTGTCAAAGTAATTTGCAAAGTTTCATGCTGGAGATTTCTCGGTGGACTACGCTCCACGGTTGGGTAGACCAGTTGAAGTTGATAGGGATCAAATCGAGACATTAACTGAGAACAATCACATTATACCACGTGGGAGATAGCCGATATACTCAAAATATCCAAGTCAAGCACTGAAAATCATTTGCACCAGCTTGGTTATGTTAATTGCTTTGATGTTTAGGTTCCACATAAGTTAAGTGAAAAAAACCTTCCTGACCGTATTTTCGCATGTGATTCTCTACTTAAACGTAATGAAAACGTTCCATTTTTAAAACAAATTGTGACAAGCGATGAAAAGTGGATACTGTACAATAATGTGGAATGGAAGAGATTGTGGGGCAAGTGAAATGAACCACCACCAACCAAACCAAAGGCCAATCTTCATCCAAAGAAGGTGATGTTGTGTACATGGTGGGATTGGAAGGGAGTTCTCTATTATGAGCTCCTTCCAGAAAACCAAACAATTAATTCCAACAAGTACTGCTCCCAGTTAGACCAACTGAAAGCAGCACTCCATCAAAAGCGTCCAAAATTAGTCAACAGAAAACACATTATCTTCCATCAGAATAACGCAAGACTGCATGTTTCTTTGATGACCAGGCAAAAACTGTTGTTATAGCTTGGCTGGGAAGTTCTGATTCACCCACCGTATTCGCCAGACGTTGCACCTTTGGATTTCCATTTATTTCAGTCTTTACAAAATTCTTGTAATGGAAAAAATTTCAATTCCCTGGAAGACTGTAGAAGGCACCTGGAATAGTTCTTTCCTCAAAAACATAAAAAGTTTTGGGAAGATGGAATTACGAAGTTGCCTGAAAAATGGCAGAAGGTAGTGGAACAAAAGGGTGAATACGTTCAATAAAGTTCTTGTTGAAAATGAAAAATGTGTCTTTTATTTATAATATAATAATACAAGAGGATTATATTTATATAATTAAGAAAAATGTTGAACATTACAAAAAAGACTGGAATGTTGTCAGTATTCACTGAGTAGTTTGCTCAACTTGAGCTTCAGTGACTCCGTAGGATTTTGGTTCATGTTCTCTAAGGCTTGGCTACTCAAGGTGGTCTGTGAACCAGGATCATCAGCGCCACATGAGAGCTAATTAATTCAGACAGCCTCTCCCCAGATTCATATGCACATATGTTTGAGAAACAGTCGTCTAATTCTAAGGCACGAGAGTGGTGACTTAAAAGAAATGAGGTAGGATCTTACAAAATGAGCATCATTCTTCCCCCTTCTGGGAGAAATTCAAGAGGGAAAAAAGAAGATAAATATAACCATAACACATCTTTCTGGTTATGGCCAGCTGTGAAAGGCACAAAGTAATTGAATTCACAAATATACTAGCTGTGAAGGGCACAAAGTAATTGAATTCAAATATACCAGACATTGATTTTAGAATTAATCTTTTAGAGTTTAAAATTTGATTATTTAGTGGTATAAGAAATTTAACACACTATAAGTAATATATTAAATTTAAATGGCTTAAACTTTAGGAAATAATCTGAGATTAATATTTTAGAAGAATCCTGAAAAAAGGAAAAAATAGCAAAAGAATAATATGCATTTCTTTCTTTGTTCCTATAAAATTTGGACTTAAAAAATATACAAAAAGTGAAAACTTATATTATTCAAAGTGACTTTATGGTAAGTTTGTTGGGGGATGATGACTACTTCAAAAGGTTTAAGTTTAAATATAATTTAAGACTATATTTTTAAAAAAGGACTATATTTTGGTCTAATTATACTATCAACTCAAATGTTTTCATGTAGAATGCCTACTTAAAAAGATAAAAATAGCTGAGACAGTCATTTCTTTGTATTTGAGGTACTCAAATAGGATAATTATGTGCACATTAATATACACCTTTCACAATGAAAAATGTAGCTTTCAGACATTTATAAATCGGAATTGGTAGGCTCCAAACTATGGTAGTTATAATTTTCATTCATTAATACTTTACAGAAAGAAAAATATTAAAAAAAATGTGATGGGGTGGTCAAAGCTTCATTAATATTGTTAAATGTTTATTACCTTTTTGGGTTGGTCAGTGTGTTTATAGGTATTCAGGGAGTAATTTTACATAAAGAAACGCATACTACATTACTTTTTTTTTTACTATTTACATAAAGCATTTGAGTAATACCACAAATTAACTTCCCACTAACAATTAACAAGGAATTAAAGTTGAACATATTGTTTGTTTTACTGTAATTTAGAGCCTTTGTGCTAAGGCAATTTTGGGAGTGTTTCCATCTTTCACACTAGAAACAATAGTGTTATAAATCTGGTCAAGCACTATGGGTTTATTTAGTAATGTAAAATCCAGTGATGATTTTCATAGCTGCCTACATATACACAAGTTTTCATGGCATACAGATTGTCAAGAGAGCTCTCTAGGTTACAAAAGATACTTGTTACCAGATTTTTTCTGCTAAAATAATAACTTTAATGGAAGATATAAGACAAAAAAATTAGATAAGATTTGGTACAGTATAAGACACCAGCAGGGTACAGTGCCAAATTAAGAACAGATAAAAAAAGGTCTTTAGAAGATAGCAGGTTCTAATATGTATATGTATAACTGTTTCAATTTGTGTACACCTGAAACTAACGCATATTGTAAATCAACTATACTCCAATAAAAATTTTTTTAAAAAAGGATAGTAGATTCTAGCTATTTATCAAACTATATAAACTTATAAGTAAAAGCCTTACCAAATTAGTGTACCAGAGGTACCAAATTAGTATACCAAAGGAATGGGACTTAGAAAGACTGCATTTCTTTTTTGAAATTCAAAGCATCTCTAGAAACTAGAAAAGTTATTTTACAGATGACTACACGAAAAATTTAAACAACAAATGACCTACTAAGGCAACGTAAATATGTTTCAAGGCTAGAAAAACTATCCCCATACTTTCCTGACATCACTCTAAACATAAGAATCGCAGTATGCTAAAATCTCAAAGCTAATATATTAAACATATTTGATATTTGGGGCTTTCTGAAATTATTTTTAGAATTTTACTTTACAAGTGGGAAATGCACTTTTAATTTTTTAATGACATTTTCCTCCTAGACATAGAATTTAGACATTTATATCTTTTCAGAGCAAAAAAGTCATCAAAATAGGAGACTAGCATAGTACCAGCCTACAGATAATGGTTACACATGCAGGTGTCTTTATTAGTCTCCAAACCATTAGGAATTTATTTCCAACAACGTTCTCTAAGTCTTCATTATTTGTATGCAAAATCCAGAGAAAACCAGTTTATCAAATTACGATTTAGTGGTCACAGTCAGGGAAAATACACTCTTCCCTGTGAAGAAATACATGTCAGTCATTGCAGAGGCAATTTAGACCTCTTTTATTGTCTGTTAACCAGGACAAACCTTTGCCAATGTCTAATTACCCACGGAATCAAATTCAAATAAAATAAAGTATTAGAAGGTAGCCCATATGATGGGTATAATTTAGATGATCTTAGCCTAAATTTATCTTTTGCTCAATAAAGCACACTGACTCAGATATATGTTCCATAGATGATATGCTTTTTCTTAATCAGTGCAGAAATATAATTTGTACATCCTGAAAATATCTTTATCTGTCTATCCATGAAGAAAGCTTCCTCTTATTTGCCTCTGTCTTGTTTTGAATATATAATTCAGAGGTTTACAAACTTTTCCAATGACTGTATTTCAGCTTGTGTTTCATCAGGAAACATTTGAAAGGATGTTTTTATTTTATAGGTTTACTATTTGAAATTCATTGTTGCTCAAGTTAGTAGTAGTGGGCAGTTTTCCTGTAGAGAGCAATTCCAAACACAATGAGTAGATGCCTGCTGGCTCTAATCAATAGGTTGTACCTCTTGTCCTTTCCCTATATTTGACCACACACTATTCTGTTGTCCATGGCCTCAGGCAAATCAAATTGGTCCTTTCTTCCCACCCCTCCCAAAAGGCCAAAACAGTTCAATGGCTAAGTTTTAAATAAGATTTATAACTGCCTGCAATAATCCTTTGAAGTTTTCTTACTAGAATGAAACATGAGTTTTAGGAGAGTTTCTGATTTAGTTGAAGGTGGGGGGGGAGTAACAAGCAATAGTCACAGCATTTTTAAACAGTATAACAATTCAGTGAAGATTATACATCAACTGATGTTGCCCTAAGTTTTCTCAGTTTTAAATGATTTTCTTTTTAATTGCTAGGGAACAGGTTTAGACACAGGAAATATAATACAGGCCAGTCCATTATTTACATGTTCTTCATCTTGGCCATGAGGTCTTCCAAGCTTTCACCAGAATCTTCCACTGTTACTTCAGGTACAGGATCTTCTTGCTATCCATAAATGAGGGAAACATGGTGAAAAAATAACCAATTAAATAAAGTTCTTAATGCTTAGGAACATATAATCAGTAAGCCTTAACCATGTTCAACAAGTTTACAAAGTACAATTTCTTTAATAAATATGCCTTCTAATTTTTAGGATAGACAAGCAGTAATTTCAATGTTCTTGAGATCTCTACAGAAGTGGTATTTTTAAATGATATTGTGGCTAAAACTTATCAATATACAAAAAAAATGGTACTGTCATTTAATCAAAATCTATTTCACTTGATCCACAAATGAGTGAGCAAAACTATTTTACATCTATGTTTTCAAACAGTTTAAACTGTGCTGTGCCTGTATTTCCATATTAACACTGAATAACTCTCTCTTTCACAAATCTTAATGCCTATAATGTAAAACACCTAAAATAGGAAATACTGCATTGGCATTATAAAATAGGTTGAAGATGAAAGAAAATAAATAGAAATTTTCTCTTATATTTACTTATG